TTAAATATGTAAAAATAGGTAAAGTAAATAAAGGAGAGTTTTTGACCTCGACATATAAATGCTGTGTGTGGTCAACACTTTGCCCAGCCGCCATTACTTTCTCTAACGTGAGTTAGGTAGCCATCAGAGCTGGGTTGGATCATGTATCTTCTCTTTACTTGAACCAGAATTCGAACTCGAGATTTTCGGGTTAGCAGCCTAGCGCTCTACTTCTTTGGCCACGCCGTCCCAAAATGTTTCTTTGTGTCGCTCATACAGTTTGTTTTGCACTAGTGTTAATTTTTCGAAAGTCATCAACTATAAAAAAATAAAATGATTATCATGTCAAAGTTGTGTTGATTAAATTCATTAAACATATAGTTAATTACATTTTATTTGTATCCTTCATAACAAAAGTAGTTTTCAATTAAGCCTTATAACACTAGATCCCAAACAGTGGACCCTTCTTGGAGGCGCCAACGTTCAGAAAAAACTTTTTAAAAAAATCTTTTTTTTTAAAGTTTTTTTTTATAATGTCTTGACGTTTAGATAATTTCATATGTTTAAAAATAATCATTAAAGTTAGTATTATCCAGAAATACTATTTCGTTAAAATGTGTTGATATTTTATTTGAACGTCGAAAGCAAGTGCGCTTCTTTGAAATGATTTTTATTTACTTTTCTTTTTATATATATCTTTTTTCCTATAAAGCCCTTTAGATGGAAAAATCACATATTTCTGAAGAGCTTTCGTCTCCAGGCTGAGTTTTATGAACAACAGATTGAAGTCTTTAGAATATTATTTTTGTTAGTGAACACTTGGTACAGGAAGCACCGTACGTGCTAAAGGACATGTTTTTAATTAAATTAAACTTTTGCTGTTGTTCGCTTTTCTAGTTGATGCAATCAATAGACGTAAGATCATGTTCGCTGTTGCTTGACTCTGTAACATATATTCATTCAAATGGTATAAAAGAAGCTTTCCTATTTTGTAGTTAACATAAAGTACTACAAAAAGTGACGGTATCATGGAGAAAATAAATACGTTTTTGAAACTTTTGTACGTGTGTGAGTAAATATACATTACACAAGACTTGGTTTAGCTCACACTCACGTGTTGATAGACAACGATAGTTCTAAACACTGTTAAAGGTATGCAATCAACAGATATATCGTTAATATTTTATGGTTAAAACACAACTCAAAACAAGCTCAACTAATGTAAGAAATACGTTGTGCAAGTCAGTTTGTAGTTAATACTTTTGAAATTCCATTAACACAGCTGAGTTATTCGTTATTATTTTGAAGGGTGTGTCTTGCAACATCATTTAGTATTACTTGTAAAGATGTAATGCGCTCTATGTCACACTAAAACTTTGTTTATCCTGATATTATTTCTGGATTTGTTGTACACGATTCGAGCCTAATCTGAAAAAGGGACCGAACTCGGGACTTTAAACAAAAGTGAGCTCCCTTACCTGAACACTAGGATAATGACGTGGATTTGTGTCTTCATATACCCTTTAGACATTGTGTCGTATAATGATTGTGTTTGGTGTAGCATTAATTTTAAAATTAAAATTAAATTATACAAGTTAATACTAATAATTTAAATAATAGTTTAAGACCCATGTTTAAATAAAACAGACAAACATGATTTACATTTTCAGCTAGGCTCAGCTAGACACACGGGTAACTTACAATAAACAAGACAGGATTACTTTAATGATTGTAAACATGTGGACTTAGACTTGATTTCACTTCATTTATTTGTCTTTATTGACATTGGTGGCGAACAGATGCAAATGTTAACTTGAAAGATCTTGTTTCCGTAAAGAAAATGTCTCCATAAAAAAAAAGTTGTAAATTATAAAAACATACTCAAGTGTAGCCGTTCTTTTTATTTGGAACACAACTTAATAATCAACTAATCCCTATCCCAACCGCCTGAACAAATCATTACCTGTCTCCAGAGCCGGCGTTAGGAATACGCGGGGCCTAGGGCCAACCATCCGCGCGGGGCCTGCTTTTTTTCCATTATATCTATCTATCTATATATATATATATATATAGGCCTATATATATATATATATATATATATATATATATATATATATATATATATATATATATATATATATATATATATACATATACATATACATATATATATATACATATATATATATATATATATATATATATATATATATATATATATATATATATATATATATATATATATATATATATATATATATATATATATATATATATATATATATATATATATATATGCGTGTGTGTGTATATATAGTACTATATAATATGCATACACACATAATAAAACAAAAATGTTTAGGAGTCTATAAGACTTTAATAACAGATGTTTACCTCTCCCACGTTTTAACCCAATGTTCTTAGTGGTTTTTACTTTCTCGTATATACGAAGTATAGAGAAAGTATTGTAATCGTGCACTAAAAAAATCGAGATTTTTACAAATCTCGACGTTTTACACCTCAATGATACGGAAAAACATAATTTTGCAATCTTTTCCGTATGTCTGTGTGTCTGTCTGTCTGTCTGTGTGTGTGTGTGTGTCTGTGTGTAAACACGATTACTTGAGTACCGTTACAGCTAGGTTGATGAAGTTTCATTTATAAGTATTTTATCAAAATCGTAGATCCGTATCAACTTTTGAGCGATTTCCGATAACCGGAAGTGGTACTTTTCCTACTTTGAATTTTTCAAAAGCCTATAACTTGAGTACTATTTCAGATAGATAAATGAAATTTCACATGTAAGTTAAAGATCTAATTCTCTACCTTTTGTTAAATTTTGAGTAATTTCCGTTGACCGGAAGTAGCAATTTACGCTATTTCCAATTTCTCAAAAAACTAGTGTAAATTTTTAAAGTACTAATAATATTGCGCACTATTATGCACTTTTTTTTATTTGGCGTTCACTTGGTGTGCGATTCTTTTGTCTACGAGATTTTATTCTATTTTAAAAAACTTTAAGTATTTAAAATGGATTAAAAATCATCTCTATAGTCCGAGTTCCCATCCCCTGTTATTTTATATAAGAATATTCGAGAAAGTTTTGGGGAGATCACTCCCGGTTTATATTTCTTGCTAAGATATTTAATAACTTTTGACAGATATGTAATTCATACCAAATCACTTACGAAAATTCAATCACGTGCCAAATAATTAGGAAAATAAAGTTGTTTAAATTGTTTGTTGATGACTAATTGTTAATATAAAAGCATGGGCGTAGCGAGGGGGGTGCGGACCGCACCGGGTGACACCATTTAGGGGGGTGACACCAAGACAAAAAAATAGCAAAACATTTACAAAAAATGATAGCTCCACTTTAAAAAGTGGTTAATTAGAGTGTTAAATAGTATTTTAAGAGCAAATTTGATAAATTCCGACAAGGGGGAGGGGGCTGGTGGTGACACCATGACGTAAACCTGCTAATTATAGAGGAAACATGCTACATCAACATTTTTAACTTACTTCAAAAAAAAAATCACTCTGTCTAATGCCCCTTGATATAGATCCTAAGCCCCCCCCCCCTCATCGCCCTCTTCCCACCCCTCTGCACGCAACTGAATGTTAATTTTGTTATACCAAGACAAGTAGGGCTACATATACAACATCTACAACAAGAAAGTCAGGACTAGCGTTCATCAGGTCACTAACTGTACTACAGGCATCCAGTCTGCTCACTAATAAGACGTCTTCATCGGTATCACTTTACGTGTTTCCCAAATTTACATCCCATGTCTGGTCGGGGGCTAATTCGCATCCAACAATCTCCAGTCAATTCAGGTCAAATGCCAGGCGACCGTACCCAGCACACAGCGAGGTGTGACACTTTTTTGGTATCGAATTACGGCCTTTCCCAGTTTAGGTGGGTGATAACTCACCAACATCAACCGTGGCCTCAGTTATAACAATCAACAACTTCGGCATTCGACCGTTTAGTTTTTCCCCATTGAATTCAGTAACAATTTATCTAAGTTTACAAACTAATTCAGATAATAATGACAGCGCTGAAGCGCGGGGCCCCTTCAGGCGCGGGGCCTAGGGCGGCCGCCCCGTTTGCCACCCCCTAAAGCCGGCTCTGCCTGTCTCTAATCCAACCCAGATCACCCTTCGCCAAACACAAATCATCCCCCAAATTACTTTATGTCTATAGGTTTAAGTTGTTCTAACATTTTAATGGCGCACTTAATTTCTACGATGTTAAGGTTATACGCAATGTAACTTTTTACCTCCCTTTATTTAGGTTTGTGCGACACAGGCGGTGATTTATGTATATATCAGTCAATGGATGTGTTAAGATTTAAGTTGATTAACGGTTATGTTAGGGACAATGCAACGCAGCTTTACGTCTCTGCGTTAAAGGGCAGCACGTCTAACATACATAATATGTGTATACTCATATATATATATATATATATATATATATATATATATATATATATATATATATATATATATATATATATATATATATATATATATATATATATATCAGTTTCATATTTAACACACACAAACATATTTGATTTGTATCACATTAAATGTACAGAAATTATATATTACAAATAAAGCTCTGAAGCAGAGTAGTAAAATATATGTAAAAATACAGTTATGTTATATGTTAATTTAAGTCAAGTAGAATATTAATTGGTGATTACATTAAATTATTTGGAAGTGTATATTGGTAACGAAACAAATAACACACAAACATGTAATATATACACATAGTAGGTTGTTAACTTGTGTTTCACATGGTGGTTACATGTTTTAATGTTTGAGAATTTACCATCCACCATGTTTTGTGTTGTACTTCTATAAACTAACGATAGTAAAACTACTGAGCCAGTATAAAGCTGCGTCTTGATCTGCTTCCAACACTTGAAAGTAAAGTTCTTGACCTTTCTTCATGTCAACAACCACTGACCCAGCAGCGCTAGTGTCGGTACATTTCACTTCTATAGACTTACACCACTCTTCTCCAGCCACCACAGCGACTCTAATCAGTTTATCTTCCCATTCATGTAGAGTTACACAGACAAGATATAAACCATCATGTGGTGATACAAATTTTCCTGTTGTTTGATTAAAATGTTGACCGTTATATTCACGTACTTCACCAAAGGTTGAAATAATTGATTCAACACTGACAGGTGTGTAATAAGCAAGTTCCATATAACAAACATATCTGTTACATACACGTGACTCTGTTGATTAGAAAACATATTATGTATAATGTACATGTTTAATTTAACGAATGGTGTCATCCATTTATGACGTCCACAAAAATTTGGAATTTTAACTTTTTTTTTTTTTTTTTTTTTTTTTTGTGAAGATGCTGTAGACCGAACATTGTAATGTCATTTGTGTCTGTCTAGCTATTAACCAATAAATGGGTAGGGTAAATTCAGCTAATCAACGTGACGTCACTACAGTACTCTAACACAACTTAACGCTACACATGTTTCCATAACAAACCTCCCCCCCCCTTTAGTAGTAGTCGCGCTGACCGTGAGCCCTACACACCTGACCAAGCGAGCATATTATACACGTGCTGTTGTTTAAATATCTTACTGTAACGTGATCATTTGTAGTTTTTTTTTTTACTTGAAGAAAAAAACACTAGATCTACGTCGTCTTAGGTCTTGACACAAAATTGTTCTAATTGATTTTAAAAGTTAAGCTTTAATTGTTTGAAATGTTTAAAAATAAAATTGAAATAGCTTGAAATGTTTTAGATAATTGTTGCGGTCACTGCCCCTACCAAAATTTTTAAAAAATGCAGCTCATTTTCCAAGGCTGGCGGTATACAGTTACATTTTGGCAACATTTATTAACCCGTTGTGCTTGGGAAATTCAACACGAGAACTGCCGATTTAATGTATAACCTACATGTTATGTGTATTTTTAAAAAATATTTTGTTGTTAAATTCAACATGTGGACGTTGATAATGACCTGACCCCCCCACCCATATCAAGTCCACACGCATTTACAAAAGTATATTTTATTCGAACACCGCCACCCCCCCCCCCCCTTCCGTGTGGACGCCATAAATGGATGATCCCCATGCTCTGACTATTTGATCCATAGGACGTGCTTTATCGTATTATTAGTTTATGTTACTAACCCTAAACATAGAACTAATTATATGTGTTTTGAATGTTGCTCAAAATGTAAGTAATAAACCGGGAGTGATCTCCCCTAAACTTTCTCGAATATTCTTATATAAAACAACAGGGGATGGGAACTCGGGCTATAGACATGATTTTTAATCCATTTTAAATACTTAAAGTTTTAAAAATAGAATAAAATTCTGTAGTCAAAAGAATTGCACACCAAGTGAGCGCCAAATAAAAAAGTGCATACTAGTGCGCAATATTAATAGTACTTTAAAAATTTACAATCGTTTTTTGAGAAATCGGAAGTAGCGTAAATTACTACTTCCGGTCAACGGAAATTACTCAAAATTTAACAGAATGTAGAGAATTAGATCTTTTACTTATATGTGAAATTTCATTTATCTATCTGAAATAGTACTCAATGTATAGGCTTTTGATAAATTCAAAGTAGAAAAAGTACCACTTCCTGTTATCGGAAATCGCTTAAAAGTTGATACGGATCTAAGATTTTGATAAAATACCTATATATGAAATGTCATCAACCTAGCTGTAACGGTACTCAAGTTATCGTGTTTACACACGGACAGACACACACACAGACAGACACACAGACATACGGACAGAATTGCAAAGCCCAGATTTTTCAGACTGGATTACGCATAAACCTCTTAATTTTGATAAATCTGGATTGATAATTTTTGCCCGATTAAAATAAGTCCTCTATACTTCGGAAGTGATGAAGGACTGAGGTGTAATACGGTGAAAATTGTTATAATTTCTAGTGATTTTTGTGCACGATTACAATACTTTCTCTATACTTCGTATATACGAGAAAGTAAAAAATGGCAAACCCAAATCAAACATTTTAAAAAAAAATACATTGTGTATAATAATCAATAAAATTTACATAATTTTTGTCCCCCCCCCCCCCCCTCCGAGGAAAAAAATCTGAAAGAAACACTGTCGGGGGCCGACAACACACTCAAGTTATTTTTCACGTATTCTATTTCTATGGTTGAGCCCATGTGACCTTATTACATTCGTCATCTTCACAACATGATTCAATATACTGCTAATGTCAACATATTTAGCACTCAAAGCTTGCTGATGAATAATAGAGTGCAGGAACATTGGTTGCAGAATATTTTTCTTATTCGCTTGTCCAACCAACACCTTTGTTTATGCCACTAATGCACTTTTCCCCATCAACAGTCAGGTAACTGAGGTTAGTCCAGTCCAAGTTATAATCAGCAAATGTTTTCTTTAACTCATTGAATATATCCTCTCCGGTAACAGTGCCACACATATTATGTAGGGAAGCCAACTCTTGCGTTATGTTCATGTCTTCAACCACACCCCTAATGAACACAAGCCGTTGAGAGGTGAAACGGCTGTCCAGCGACTCATCCATTGCAATTAAAAAATAGTGAAACGTGCTTGCATTTTTCGCTATTTGAGTCACGATGTTTTTCACCAATGTCTGCAACACGGTGGGCAAAGGTATTTGAAACCAAAGCTACATTTCAAATTATTTTGAATTTTCTGGGCAAAGTTCCTCAGCCACTTCTAACAGACATTTTTTTCCGTGGACAAAAAGATCTCCGCGGGCCGGATGAGAAGACCTTGCGGGCCGGATGCGGCCCGCGGGCCGTAGTTTAGAGACCCCTGCACTAGACCACTAGTTTAGTACGGTCCTCAGTTTTAGTGGCGTTAGTTTATAGTGTCCTACGTATTGAAACTACAAGGGTAGTAATTCAATTAATACCTCACAAATGGTACAACAAAGGTTATATGCGTCATATTATAATCGTTCAGTCCGTATAGTTTAATTATATAAAGTTAATTTATCGTCGACCCCCGACATACCAGGTGGTGTAATGCACCAGGTGAGGAAACAAACACCTGACGGAAACCCACGGGTCTAGAGACTGGCACTATGGGTGAGTGAAATGTTCCATTCTTTATCACGTTATGGTCTGTCTGGCTAACGAACATCACGTTATGGTCTGTCTGGCTAACGAACATCACGTTATGGTCTGTCTAGCTAACGAACATCACGTTATGGTCTGTCTGGCTAACGAACATCACGTGATGGGCTGTCTGTCTGTACGATTAGGTTTTTAAAATTATTTTTTTAAGACAAACTTACCTATAAGATTCAAATCTTTGGACAATTTTGAAATAGCACCTTTAATATTTTCCAGCTAAAAAAAGTATTTTATAAAACAAATGAAAAATTTCCGTAGTTACGTACAGCATACAATTGATGCACAGATTTTAATTGGTTATGGCATATTGTAAGAATAGAAAATAATTTAACGCTTGTGTTTTTTTATACATGTTATTAACTTGTTTATTTACATAGTTTTGATAATTAATGCGTGATTTATCAACGTCGCAATTTTTTAAAATTACTTCTTATATACCTTCGTTATTCTATCTTCCCTTGTTTCCAAGTTCTGGTTAAAGATTTGAATTAGTTTGTCAATAGGCATCAACCTTTGTTGTAGAAGTTTGTACATTAGACTGTGCTAAAGAGCAGAACATTGAGTAAAAGCATCAACATTTTAAATATTTTTACTGCACATTATAACTAACAAAAAACATAAAATGTTTCTTAAAATACGTAATAATTTTAGAGTATAACTGTTAATAAAGCTACTAAGTGGTGTGTTGATTTAACCAGGTTAAAAAATGTGAAAGAAGTTATCTGGCCAGTAAGTGTAAAACTGGGTTAACCCATGATTAGAAATTTTACCTTTTCTAATTGTGTTGATGTATTATGCATGGTTTTATAATTCTCTTCTTGTAGGGTAGACATCTGATCTGAATGTCTTTTAATTTCATCTGTTATACTGTCTGATTTATCCGTGTGATCTTGCATCTCTTTATTTAATGTGTGTAAGTTGTTTTCATATGTTTTCATATCTAAAGTCATTTTCTCTAGTGATTTATTTGATTTGGATTCTTTTTCTTTTAAAATTTCAATTTCTTTGTTCAGCTCGTTTACTTTGTTATCTTGTTCACTCATTTGTTTTCTAAGATTTTTAAAATTCTGCTTTTGTTTTTTAGTCAGTAGTTCAATGTTTACCCACATGTCACTCTGTTCTGTTACAAAGTTGTCTCTCCATTGTTTTATTTCTGATATGTCATCTGTAGATTTGTCATTGGCATCTTGTAGAGAAGATATGGCTGCCTCTATCTGCTCAAGTCGACTGACGTCTTGTAGAGAAGATATGGCTGTCTCTATCTGCTCAAGTCGACTGACGTCTTGTAGAGAAGATATGGCTGTCTCTATCTGCTCAAGTCGACTGACGTCTTGTAGAGAAGATATGGCTGTCTCTATCTGCTCAAGTCGACTGACGTCTTGTAGAGAAGATATGGCTGTCTCTATCTGCTCAAGTCGACTGACGTCTTGTAGAGAAGATATAGCTGCCTCTATTTGCTCAAGTCGACTGACGTCTTGTAGAGAAGATATAGCTATCTCTATCTGCTCAAGTCGACTGACGTCTTGTAGAGAAGATATAGCTATCTCTATCTGCTCAAGTCGACTGACGTCTTGTAGAGAAGATATGGCTGTCTCTATCTGCTCAAGTCGACTCACTATTTCTAATACGATAAAACAAACAAAAAAGTTATTCGTATTAAGTAGAAGAAAATAAGACATACGTTTTTACATTTTAAGTTTTAGAAAAACGTTGTTTTAGTTTTAAAATGGTTTTACCTGCTGTTGATGAAACATGTTTAGTAACTTGATGTTTTGATTCACTATGGTCACGTTTTTCTGCTGCTGTAGTTTGTGGTGTTGACTGAGATAATGAAGGCGTATATCCCTCAACATCTGTGTAGTTTTTATTTTCATCTTGGTGATGTAAATGAACAAACTGATATTTTATTACATAACAAGATAATGGAATATTTAATTTCTTGTTTTATATTTGAGTCATTGTCTTTCATGTTTCATATCTTATTTTTGTTTGATATATTGTATATTTCTTACGTTTTCTTTGCTTTTCTTTTTCTAGTAGTAGATCGATTTAAGATAGATACACAACTCTTACATTTATTATAATTATAGAAAATTTACTTATGATTGATGATGCCGCATTTAATAAACTCAAAGTAGCCGAGTCTAGCTCTTGATGTATTTTTATGTAGTTGAAGGAGGGATGTTCATTTTTATCTTCTTCTATCCAAGTCTTACTTTTTTGTACAGCCTTGTAAAAAATATGATTTTGTAATGAAACATGTTAAGCGTTTAATATTCTTCTATGTATTTATTAATCAATAACAACATTAATGATCAATTACTTGTTTCATAACATCCAAGACAGGTTCCAAAACCTGTATCTGTTCTTCCAAATATTTTTTGTGCCGTGCAACGAGTTCAACTTGAATCCTGGGTCGCATCTAAGAAAATAATTAAAAGATTTGATCGCGGTATAGACTAATTAGCTTGATTAACCAGAAAAATTGAAAGACAATTTTAAAAATAACGTTAAGAAAACTTTTATAGTTTAAGTCTCAGTAGATTAAATTTGATAGCAGTATTATTCAGAAAACAGCTTTATTTTGTCAAAAGCTTTCTCACTGATTAAATATCTGTCACGACGTTTAAACGTCTTATTCTATCGTAAGTTTTTCTTTGATAATCATTTTTAACTTTCTACGTGAAATTTCACACTTTACTAAATAAATGTAGGCAAGTAGGCCTATTTAGTAAAATTTTAAGGGATCTAACGGGAAAACCCGATGTTATAAAAAAAATGTGTACAAGTGATAAAGATGGCGACAAGAGACGACACGAACTAGAGATAGTAGATTGCCTTCAACTTTAACACATTTAAATGATTTAAAAATCACACCTATTTATCCGTAGCACTTAGAATGTCATATTTATGTCTATCTCAAACGAAGTAAAATTTAATGTATATTTTAAATTAACTTAAACAAATTTTAGTTTTATATTTAATTGAAGAAAATGTCAAATAGTTTAAATAAAATGTGTAGCTTATTCAGCATACGTTTCATGTTTATTGTTGTCGTTACTGTGTAAAGATGAATGTGATTGTATGTAAATGGGATGTTTACACTTACTTTATAACTTTTGGAATATGTTTAGCTTACAGTAGAACCGGTCTTGTCTTTAGAGTGCTGAAGGCCTTCCACATCTGCCAAGTTCATCCGTTAAAGTGAAACTTCAAAAAGGGAAATCCCGATATTACCTTATACGTGACGTCAACTTACAAGGGACAAAACTGTTGTTTTTCTAGTTTCTTAACACATGTATTTAGGCAACTTAACATTTTTTTTCTTTGTGGTGCACAGAACATCTCCTGTTATATAGATCTACAGTCTTCACTTGTACGGATTGGGATTTGTGTTGGGTACAAAAAAAAAGTCCATCAAAATGTCAGACATAAAATCTATTGTAAGGCTGTTGTTTTATGGTAGTGCTGTCTTAAATAATATTATTTTTCCATGAGTGGTTGAGAAATGTGTTAAAATATCCTATAAAAACTCAAGATTCTTGTATATCAGGGCTTGCTTTGAAATATACTTTGACCATAGAAAATAGTTAACCTGCAAACTGACAGTAGGGACCATAGGTGTCATTTAGATCTTAGTAATAGATGTATTGGTGTACTCTGCATTGCTTATATCTATTTGCTAGTCAAATGATATACAATTATAATTACGACAATTAGGGGTTGAGTTCTATAGGTATAACCTATTAGAAGATGTTGATGGTGGTGTCAAGAAATGGCTGTTAAGTTCCAAAATACACTTACCACAGATATAGCTAATTTATTGGGACAATCCATAACTAAACCATTTAAAAATTGTTAATTTTAATCTTCTATGCGTGAGATGTTTTTAAACTTGAACAGCAGTTGTTTCATTTAAGAATTTTCTTTTCTAGATGGGTTGCTGTCTCTGGTTATCGGGCCTCATCTGGTAGAGTGATTAAACTCAGGACTGTAGTGTGAGCAATAATGAGCTCTCTTAACTGAACATGGGGATAATGACGTCGAAGTGTGACGTCATAAACCAGACAGATTTATATTTGCAGCAAAGCTTAACTAGACCCATGTGTAGAGTAAACTCAAGAGGGAAGGTCAGAGCTATTTCAAGGATTGTACACATTTGGCTGAACAATTTATTTTCAATTTAAGCTGGGGTATTTGTTTTTATTGTTTTTATTGAGATCTGTATCGAATAGAAGTAAAGGTTAACGTTAAAGATCTACGTAACCGTCATGAGAGATATTTGATAAGTAAAATGTCAGCGTTCGTGGTTTAGTTTTAGTATAAAAAATGTCTTGAAAAAAAGGTGAACTGTGTGTATGTGTGTGTGTGTGTGTGTGAGTGAGTGTGGCGAAAGTAGGGTTGGGAAAATGACGTAGGATAGGGTTGGGAAAATGACGTAGGTTTTAGTTGGCCGGAGGTTTTGTTTTAGTGAAGCCACAGACCAGAAAATTGCATTGAACACTAAAGGGAAATACACATTTTCATAAATATAGCTTGCTACAACTTTATTAGAAGCCCGGGAAGATCATGATACTGAAATGTGGAGCAGACAATGTTTGACTGTTTGGTCAACTAATTGCTCTAATTGTAAAGCTGTGTAGAATTATCGCACAGACAGTAACATGGGAAATTAATATACTTACACTCGCGTGATATACTAGATCTGTTGCTGTCAAACTCCATGAAATAAACGAAAAACAAACGTCCGCGATCAAATGTGTTATATGTAAAAGATCCCTTACATGTGGATGTACTCTATCTAAAAATCACCATTTGCGGCTAAATTTAAGTAATTCTGTTTTATTTTATTTTTAAATAATGATTTTGCAATAATTCAGTATGTTAAAAATTCATGGACAATTTATATAGTTTAGTCATACATGTTATACAGTTTTGAACAGAATAATACAAAATAGTGTTTGATAATTTGCCGAAGAAATTATTTACCAAGAAAATGTAACATATTGCATTTAATAAAATGACTTAAAGTGAACTGCGCCTTAGTGTGTTGTTGCTTGTAGACTGCTTGATTAGTGCAGAACATTAAAACACAATTGGGCGAAATGTTGAAAGTGTAAGGCCCTACCAATCATAATTGATACGAATCCTAACTAGCTGGTCTATGTTCATCTTATTCTATTTTATTGATTTGAAAAAAAAATATTGAAATACACCGACAGAAAAAACAGCCTTTCCTAACGTATGCTACACTCACTGCCCAAAATAGACTATGTAGTTTACATTGTACAGATAACGTTTGTATGCGCAGGTGTCAATATGTCACGTCTCCGTCACGACTCAGAAATAACTTATGTTAAGCAAGTTACTACAAAAAAATTAAACAATTATTTTCTTCTTTAAGTAGTTGCATATTGGCACGTGTTCTCGGATGAGTGCAGATTGTGACCGCTTTTGCCTTATATTTAATAAAAAATTATGTTTTGTGTTATTGGCTAATTCAATTTAGTACTAGCACAAAGTTATAGTTTAAATGTGTTGTTTTATTATCTGCAATATCTTCTTCATTTTATGTGAGTAAATTGATTAGGGGGTAATGTACTACTGAAACGGTTTGGGCGGGGATGTGTACATAGGGGGGGGGGGGGGTAATTGACTTGGCAATTAATAAATGGGGGGTAGGGAGCAGGGCCATTTCACTGTCTTCGTAGAGCCAGACATTTTTGGCATTCGTAAGCCCAATATTCAACAGCGGCTGTGACACCTACACCAGATTGTGTAATGTTTATATTGCAATAAAATGGTGATGCTTGCATTAATTTAAGAGTTAAAAGGTCTCAACAGCTCTTAAATCGATAATGTTTTTTTTAACCATTAGCTTTCAACAATATGATGCTTTAAGGATTAGGATTAGCATTAGGATTATGTTCAGGTTCAGGTTTAGGTTACGTTAAACATACACATACGCATGCACATAAATATACACACACATATACACACATACACACACATACATATACACATACATATATTTACATATACGTATAAATAGAAATGTTTGAATATCTATTATGTAGATACATGTGTGGCCTATTGTGTTTGTTAGAGTAGCTGCTAATTTACAAACACAATGTTACTCAATAGAGAGACAATACAGGTTGTTGTTTTTTTATATTGAATTACTATAAGATTTAATTGCAGTTTATTTCAATTTATTTACAATTGCATAGAATGGATTATTATTTTCAATATATATGATACACACTGATGTCCAGTGAACTTATTTAAACATTTGTCTTTTAAATAGTTCATTAAGTTTGTCTCAAAATTACGGATTTCAATTTAATATTTAGGAAAACAAACTATGTTATATTTTTTAACGCACTAAAGGTTACACTTAGTGCCCATGTACAAAGAAACAAGTTAATAAAAAGTCTAGTGACAATTTAAGCGCAATTTTCTTTATTAATTTTTTGTGACCGAACGAATAACCCGTAGATGTTTGCACCCCGTTTCGTTTCTCTCTACACGAGCAGAGCTAGTCCCTGCCCCCTCGCGAGATCTGCGCGAGTCTGGCCAATGGCAGCGTGACGTTACCCCTCGCTAGCGCCTGCCTCAGCCGGTGTGCTTGTGGTAGAAATATTTGTATATTCTTAGTAATCTTAGCCAATACAAATTAGAAGAAATTAATTTTTTGTGACTGAACGAAAGTATGTTGTTGAAAACTTTCTTCGGCAATATTGTTTTAAATTATGGCAGGAATCGATTGGTAAATGTTTCAAGTCGCTAAGTGGTTTTGTTTCCGCGATATGGGCCAAAAACTGCATTTTTTCGAGGTTTTATTGGCTTTTCCGGGAAATCCAGGAAGGAATTCCGGGAATTTTTTTAGCCTATGTCCATCCTCGGAACTTGCTTAACATATTTGCTTTGGAACTAGTCCTCGATATTGCTTCGTTGAGGAGGAGATACGACTTAAAGACGACTTAAAGCTGCGGACACGCATCCATCCATACATCCATCCATCCATCCATCCATTCCCAGAAATGACGAGTTAATAATCGCAATTCTCCAGAATGGAAATTGCGCTAAAAAATATATGTAAAAATATAATTGTTTAATGTTTATTGTAGTCAAGAAGAACATATTAATTGGTGATCACATTAAATTAGATAGAACAGTGTAATGACGACTAAACAAATAGCATATAAACCATTCACATTTTTGTTGTCTACACACATAGTAGGTTGTTAGCGTGCGTTTAACATAGTGGTTACATATTTTAATGTTTTAAAGATGTATTGTCCATCCTGTTTTGTGTTGTACGGCTATAAACTAACGATAGTGAAACTACTAAACCAGAATAACACTGCGTCTTGATCTGCTCCGATTACTTCAAAGTAAAGTTTTTCCCCCTCCTTCATGTCAACAACCACTGACCCAGCAGCGCTAGTGTCAGCGGAGCTTACTCGTATAGTAGTCTTACACAGCCTATCTCCAACCCGTACACCAACTACAATAATTTTATCTTTACTTTCATATAGAGTTAAACTGACAAGATATAAACCATCATGTGGTGATACAAATGTTCCTGTTGTTTGATTAAAATGTTGACCGTTATATTCACGTACTTCTTTAAAGGTTGAAATGTTTGATCTAGTACTGACACGTGTAGATTCGTTGATTTCCAAACAACAAACATATCTTTTATTTACACGTGACTCTGTTGATTAGAAAACATATGTATGATTTACATGTTCTATAAATTGTACATCTTTGTGACATTAAAGCTTCATTTCATGAATTTATTTTGTGAAAGCTTTTTGAGAAAAAAATCTTACAGGTTGGGCTGTGGTGTGTAGAGAGCATAAATTATTAAATAATGAGGAAATTGAATTATTTTATCAAACAATGTTTTTTTTACAAAATAACACTATGTAGCAAATTCGATACAGTACGCAACGGTAAGTAAAAATTATGTTAAAATTAAAAAAAAAGATTAATCATTTATCAGATTCCAAATCTGGAGCATCAGAAATTCATTTACAAGATAGCAACTTACATTTTTTCACTATATTACTATTATCAGTTATGTTATATTTCTTAGTAATCATGCATCTTTTTATTGTGTCAGTCAATAAGCAGCATCACTTTGCTCAGCGGGACCTCTATCTAGTATAATTTGAAATTGTTTTAAAAGCAAAGTTGTTTTCAATGACTCAAACGTGTTGATAGGAAAGAAATTAGAATGTTAGAATATATCTGCAATGCTCATATTTGGCGATTATTAGAACTTTTGCCTGTGCAATGAAACCAGAGACATGACTATTAAAAGCCAATGAAGTGATTTATGTCTGCTATATCAAAGACTTCAAGCTTTATCTAGATTCCTCTGTGCGATGTAGATCTAGAAAATCTGTGTGCCGATTATACTAGCGTAGTCTTATCCATGGTGTGAAATAAAATAATCTTGAACAGTCGAAAGGCCTTGCACTAAAAACTAAGTTCCATTCCTCACAAATGCTAGAGAACATTCATGCGTTTTAGTTAACAACTGGCTGGACTAGCATCTGCTTACATTTTATGAATGTACATCTTATAAATGTAGGTCTATAGCTTAAGAATGTATATCAGAATAAAGTCTACCGCTTTACTTGCGCTGAACCAATCCCTTTATTCTCTCTACATCACTTTCTAAGTGTTCAATTTCAATTACAGTAACACCTTCAATATCAGGTAAATAAATAGATGAATATTAAGACATTAGTGACAAAAGAAATATGTAGTCTCTATTTCAGACATAATTCTTTTGTGAGAATCTTTACTCATCCTCTAAAAACAAGTTAATAAAAAGTCTAGTGACAATTTAAGCGCAATTTCCTTAATTATATTTTTGTGCCCGAACGAAAGGATATTTTTGAAAACTTTCTTCGGCAATATTGTTCTAAATTATGGCAGGAATCGATTGTTAAATGTTTCAAGTCGCTAAGTGGTCGGGTTGCCGAGATATGGGCAAAAAACTGCATTTTTAAAAGATTTTTTGGCTTTTCCAGGAAATCCAGGAAGGAATTCCGGGACTTTTTTTGGCCCACAATCATCCTCGAACTTGTTTAACATATTTGCTTTAGGAACTAGTCCTAGATATTGCTTCGTTGAGGAGGAGATACGACTTAAAGCTGCGGACAAGCTGCGGACACACATCCATCCGTCTAGAAATAACGAATTAATAATCGCAATTGTCCAGTATGGAAATTGCGCTAAAAATCACTACTAAACCCAACTATATATTATTTCTAGATTTATTTACTTTATCTTCATGCAGGCACAAATTAAATTATAATTCAAATAAAAATGATGCATCACTGCTACTTTTTATATACTAGAGGATTATTATTGTATTTGCAAGTATAAGTACTATATGTAAGAATGTCAATCAAATATTAGTATGCCATTTTTTGTAATAATATTTACCACTACATCCATAGATCCATAGATCCAAGAAAAACAGACAATTCAAACCATTACAAAAATTTAAGAGGATTATCATCCAAAATATTTACATACTTTTGTCAAAGACGACTAAATTTAGCTACTAGTTTATTACCGTGCTCAGTTTTAGTGGTGATTGTCAGAGGCGTAGCGACCCTTCGCGGCGACAGGGGACAAACTTTCAATTTGGCGCTCCGATCGGGAACAACCTTTTAATTTTTAATTTGCATCTCCCTTCACCTCAAACTTTCCATTTGCACACCCCCCCCCCTCAAGCTTTCCATTTGCACCCCACCCCCATATATATTTTATATTTATCATGCAAAACTGCAGCTAAAATAATATTTTAATTTGTTTTACCAACCCATTTTTGCGCCCCTAAGGTCGGCGCCCATGGACAAATGTACCCCCCCCCTCGCTACGCCTCTGGTGTTAGTTTATGGTTTCTTAAGTAAAAAAACCACGAGTGTGGTAGTTCAATTAATACGTCAAATAATGTATAACAAAAGTTACATCATGTGTTATTTTAGAAGTATTCCACTCGAATGTGATCACATTATAGTCACATTATATGAGATTACTATATCCAAACAAGCATCACTAGCACTTTAGTTATTCTGTTGTACTTACTTATAAGTGGGGTGGGGTGGGGGGAGGTAGAGAGATATTGAACAAAGTTAAGTAAAAGTAATAATATAAAAGTAATAAACTTTGTACCGATTTCAAAGTGTTTCCTTTTGTTTAAAATTTCAACAGAAATAAAAGTAGAATTGTCATTACATCGCCATTGTTATACGTTTTTTTTTAAAGATAATTCTTTACTAAGATTATTCAATTTTTATTCAAAGCATACTTACCGATTAGATCAAAATCTTTGGACAACTTAGAAATTGTATTTTCAATATTGTCAAGCTAAATATAAAATAAAGATTAACATTAGTTATGGCAACTTATAAGAGCATAAAAAATATATTAAAACCTATATTATGATAATAAACGTCTTGACAAAAACAAATATTATCGACTAAATCTAATAACTGATTGTTAAAATTTAATGCGTGATTGATTATTGTTGCAGTTTTTAAAAAAAATAAAATTGTAACAAACGTAGGTGTACCTTCTGTGTTCTTTCTTCTTTAGTTTCCAAGTTCTGGTTAAAGATTTGAATTAGTTTTTCAATAGGCATCAATCTTTGTTGTAGGAGTTTGTACATCACACTGTGCTAATTATCCGATAATTAAAAGGGATTATTTCAACTTTGGCTAGTTCTAATGTATATGGAATTAAAGAAATTACAATTAGCCTTAACAATAGTTTTAAATTAAAAGGTATTACTGTTGGAAAAATTAATCAGCTGACTTTTAAAAGTTGTCACTACTTGATCTTACAATTTGGAGTAATTAAACTGGCAAGTATGTGTAAACTTGTGTACCCAATTAATTAGCCATTTGAATGATTTCCTTTGATTGCATCTCCTCAAGTTTGGTAGATGTATTAACCATGATTTTTTTGGTATCTTCTTGTAAAAAATTAATCTGATCATAAGGTATTTTCATTTCTTTTTTCATATTGTCTGTTTAATCTGTTTGATCTTGCATCTCCTTATCTATTTTGAGTAAATAGTTTTCATATTTTTTCATATCTAGCGATGTCTTTGACTCTAATTCTTTCAAACTTTCAATTTCTTTGTTTAGCTCCTTTATTTTGGAATATTGTTCACTAATTTGCTTTCTAAAGCTTTTAAAAATCTGCTTTTGTTTTTTACTTAGTTGTTCAATGTTTACCCCCATTTTACTCAGTTCTCTTACTAAGCTGTCTCTCCATTGTTTTATTTCTGATATGTCATCTGTAGACTTGATATTGGTGACTTGTATGGAAAACATGGTTGTCTCTATACGATCAAGTCGACTGACGTCTTGTAGAGAAGATATGGCTGTCTCTATCTGCTCAAGTCGACTGACGTCTTGTAGAGAAGATATGGCTGTCTCTATCTGCTCAAGTCGACTGACGTCTTGTAGAGAAGATATGGCTGTCTCTATCTGCTCAAGTCGACTGACGTCTTGTAGAGAAGATATGGCTGTCTCTATCTGCTCAAGTCGACTGACGTCTTGTAGAGAAGATATGGCTGTCTCTATCTGCTCAAGTCGACTGACGTCTTGTAGAGAAGATATGGCTGTCTCTATCTGCTCAAGTCGACTGACGTCTTGTAGAGAAGATATGGCTGTCTCTATCTGCTCAAGTTGACTGACGTTTTGTAGAGAAGATATGGCTGTCTCTATCTGCTCAAGTCGACTGACGTCTTGTAGAGAAGATATGGCTGTCTCTATCTGCTCAAGTCGACTTAATATTTCTATGGCATTATAAACTTAAATAAATCGCAGTAGTAATAATGTCTGTATGGCATATGCTACCTTTTGACCAAGAAAAATACATTGTAATTATTCAACGTTTATTATTGTATTGTTTTATAACTTTTTGTCTAATCGGATAGGCGCTGGTAAAAAAAATAATACTTTTTAGAAAACAATAATGTTTTTGTTTGTTTAAGGTACATCAAATTATGCATGTCCAAAAACATTTGCGAAAAATCATGATGACTATGACAACGGCGGCCATCTTGAAAATTAACCCCTTCGTAGGTTTTCCACCATTCATAAATATTATATTTTTAGTCCAATAAACAATGAATTTATTTTTTCTACCATATCTTGGGGTACTCAGCTAAAAGTTTTTAGTGCATATCTTCAAACAAATTTTTATGAATTTTCAAATTGTGGGTCCGTTAAAAACATTAGTTTAATGCCCCCCCCCCCCCCCCCCCGCACAAAAAAAAAAATCACCACAATCAAAATTTGTCGCACTACTGGGTTTCTTGCATTTTTTAAATTGTATGTTCGTTTTTGTATTAAGAAAATAATAAATTTAATGGGAGAATTTTTAAATGTGTTTCAAATAAACTTTCTATGACTCATTCTATAAGCATTTTTCCCGAATTTACAAGCTCTCTACTGAAACTTTAATATTCATCATTATATTGTGTTAGGCATCATTCGAGAGCTGGCTTTCTCATGCATTTAATAATATTATCTCCATCTGACAATCAGCTTTACAAAGTACAAAGAAATGGTATTCTCGTGTCTTGCTTTTCGTTTCTCTTTGCTTTTTTTCTTAGTTCGCATTTTTTACACTGACAAGACTACTACTTTTTTTATTTTTTAAACAATGCCCACCATATGTTTCAGTAATTGATCTTCATGCAAAAATTAAACTTTTGCCACTAGGCAATCGTAATGGCTAATTTAGAAAAAATGTTTAAATAATATGCAAATTGTGAAACTTTTACATACTAAAAAAAAAGCTATTTTCAAACCTTTTAGAATACTGACCAGTAGCTCTATCAAAACGTTTGTCGTGGCAAAAAATTTAATATATACTGAAATGAAAGTCGTTTAAATCTGATTTTTATAAGTGCATACATAAAAATGCCATAGCGTTTTTAAAAGTACCGGAAAACTCTAAATGACGTAGGATATATCGTGTTTCCTGACAACCGAAATTGTTTCCAGCCTTTTTAATGTTTAATAGTTACTTTCAACTGCCAAACATAGTAAAAGTATTTAAACGGCATTTGTCTTAAATTAGAAAAATACAGAAATAACGGGCATATTCCATTAGTTATTTATGTATACCTGATGGGTCAAAATGTTCTTTAAGAATTTCACTTGTTGACTGACTTTGGTCAAGTTTTTCTGTTGCTGTTTGTTGCCTTGACTGAGATGAAAATGACGTTTCTTCTTTAGTATCAACATTGTCGTTATTTTCGTCTTGTAATTTTAAATGAATGATATTTATTTTAAAAATATATATAGGAATCCATGCCTTTTTCTCAACAATTAATAATTTCTAGTTTTGACTTTTGTTTTGATTTTTTTTTTTTTTTTTTTTTGCAAAGTATAATTTGTTTTTTCTGCAACATTGTTTAAGGTATTTGATATATTAAAATATAATATCTTAGAATATCAAAAACAAAAATCTATAATTTTCCAGGCTTACCTGTAATTATTTTGTATTACATGACTGCTATTTAATTGATACTCCAGAATATAAATTAAAATAAAATAGACTTATTTTAAAATATTTACCTAAGATATGAGCCGCTACATCCAACATTGTCAAGGTAGCTGATTCAAGTTCTTGACAAAGATCGCTATATGTCAAAGATTTGTTGTCACTTTTATCTTCTAACCAAGTCTTACTTTTTTCTACAGCCTGACGACATAAAGCATTTTGTCTTAGCGTTAAAATGTGTGTCAGCATGTTATTTGAGAACATTGGTTGTTTTTAGTGTTTGTAGTTTTTTTAAATAATATAGGACCTACTGTATATTTATCTTCAACAAGCTCAATATAAAAAGGAAACATAAAAAAACGTTTTAATAACCACTTTTTACTTTCTCGTATATACGTAGTATAGAGAAAGTATTGTAATCGTGCAAAAAAAAAATCGAGATTTTTACAAATCTCGACGTTTTACACCTCACTGATACGGAAAAACATAATTTTGCAATCTTGTCCGTATGTCTGTGTGTGTGTGGGTCTGTGTGTCTGTGTGTCTGTGTGTAAACACGATAACTTGAGTACCGTTACAGCTAGGTTGATGAAATTTCATATATAAATATTATATCAAAATCGTAGATCCGTATCAACTTTTGAGCGATTTCCGACAACCGGAAGTGGTACTTTTTCTACTTTGAATTTTCAAAAGCCTATAACTTGAGTACTATTTCAGATAGATAAATTAAATTTCACATGTAAGTAAAAGATCTAATTCTCTACCTTCTGTTAAACTTTGAGTAATTTCCGTTGACCGGAAGTAGTAATTTACGCTACTTCCGATTTCTCAAAAAACTAATGTAAATTTTTAAAGTACTAATAATATTGCGCACTATTATGCACATTTTGTTTCGGCGTTTGTTTGGTGCGCAATGTTTTTTTCTATGAGATTCTATTCTATTTTTAAAAGTTTAAGTAATTAAAAGTCATGTCTACATTCCAAGTTATATAAGAATATTCGAGAAAGTTTAGGGGAGATCACTCCCGGTTTATTATATATTATGCAATAAAAATTTGAAAATAATTGATTTTCTTTAAATATATAATAATACACTACTATTTAAAGAACTATATAGAAAAGCGTGGGTCACTTTATTATCTATTGAATAGCTTTACTAATATTTCAGATGAGACCTACGCTTTTCTTTATAGTTATTTAAATAGTGTGGGTATTATTATATACTTCAAAACATCATTTATGTTATAGTTTTTAGTGCATTATTATATAAAAGCTTGTGATTAAAACGTTTTTTGTTTATTTTTAAGTACTTTACGTTTTTTTTAATTTACTAATTTGGACACAATTATAATTAATTCATAGAAACATTAATTAGGCATTGAATTAAGTCAAATTTAATGTCGGATTGTCTTGTCTTCATTTCTTGACCCAAGTGCCAAATTTAAAACGAATGTGTCAGTTAGAAGTGCCCGAAATTTTGCTTGAGAGTATCGATCTATCACGACAGACTGTTGACAGACTGACGACAGACTGGACGAGGAAGCAGTTAAATAACAGCTAGTAAAAAGCACCAATTCTATGATGAATGCAGGCAGTGAAAACTTACAATTCGCAAAGCTTCAACCACAGGTTTAATGACTTTCATGTTTTCTTCTAAATACTTCATGTGCTTTGTAACATATTTGACCTGAATTCTAGGACGCATCTGAGTAAAACAGAAATAGTTAGAATAAACACACTGGAACGCACATTGCGATTTAGGAAGACGTTATAAAATATTTAATTTTTTTTCACGTCACAGTACATCATGCGAATCAAACAATTATTATACACTATACATATATATAAATATATATAAATATATATATATATATATATATATATATATATATAAAATCAAATATTTTTTTTATTGAAACTAGTTATAAACGATTACTTTCGGGTCATTTAACTCAACTTTCTATTCTTGTCGTATAAAATATTAAATTTTTTTCACGTCACAGTACATCATGCGAATCAAACAATTATTATACACAATATATATATATATATATATATATATATATATATATATATATATATATATATATATATATATATATATATATATATATATATATATATATATATATATATATATATATATATATATATATATACAGAGGCGTAGCAAGTGGGGGGGGTGCGGACCACACCGGGTTACACCATTTAGGGGGGTGACAACAAGGCAAAAAATAGTAAAATATATAGAGAAAAACTTGAAAATTTGAGGGGGGGATTGCAAATCTCGAAAATTTGAAAGTTTGTCCCCGGGAAGGGTCGCTACGCCTCTGGGGAGGGGGTGACACCATTAAGTGCCGCACCGGGTACCACCCGACCTCGCCACTGTATATACATACATATATATATATATATATATATATATATATATATATATATATATATATATATATATATATATATATATATATATATATATATATATATATATATATATATATATATATGTATATTTATTTATATATATATAATCAAATATTTTTTTATTGAAAATAGTTATAAACGATTAATTTCGGGTCATTTAACTCAACTTTCTATTCTTGTCGTATATATTTTGTGTTAAACACGGTTTAAGCTTAACATTACGTTTTTAAAAAGTAACTCACTTTTGACAGAAGAATAAAACAAAGTGTTCAGTTGTTTTTGTCCTTTGTTTTAGACACCGTAGTTCAACACAATAACAAAATGCCGCTGCGCTTCAATGATCGAAATGTAAAGGCAATAACACAAGTTACCTCTACCGTGTAGGAACGTTTGTGAGTGTACTTTGTACTGGCCCGTTCTTTAGCTTAATTTCCTGTCATTTATCTTCTCGATAAATATAGAAAACATTTTACTAGCGTTATCATCCATTTTACACATGCTATGACTTTATCAGCTATATCTATTGTGTGAAAGTGAGATCAATACATGGCGAGTATATGCCAGCTGATCGTGTATGTTTAGGTGCCTGTACCCTACTAAAGGTACTACATCAGCCATTTACTAAATTATATAAACAATTTCGTCGGCGTAGAGTGAAGAGTTGCATTAAACATTGTAAAGTTTTACAAGTTAAAATGACATAATACAAGTTAGGATATTAAAATCCTGGTTTTCTCATCACATATATTTTTTAAATGTTTATATGCAGGTCCTTAAATGTATTAATTTGCTATTTCAATATACTACTTAATTTATTACATCTAAATAGTAGTCTACACTTAGGTTGGCAGGTCAATACTACTTCAATGATTGTAAACATTTGGCTATTGACTGTATTTCACTTCAGCTGAGTTATATGTCTTTATTGAGCTCTGTGGCGAACAGATGTAAATGTTAAGGGTGAATCATCTACTTAACCGCCATGAGAGATTTTTTTTTGGTGTGAATCCATGTAAGCTACAGTGTTTTGCTTTTTATTTTAAAAAGACAAAATGAAATCGGGTAGGTTTGTTTAATTTACCGTAACAATTATTTCTCTACCCTAAACCAACAGACTTAACTAAACATTTTTTTAAAATCCCTTTCTGCCCGCCTGTTTCTTAATTTTATTTTAAGCTTGTGTAACACAGGCGGTGCTAAATTTAGATAAATTAATGGACAGAGTTCAGATATTAGTTTAACGGTTGTGTTTTGGTCAACGCAGCACAGCTATATGTCTCTTTATAAAAGGATAGCATGTCCAAAATGCATACTATATGTATATATATATATATATATATATATATATATATATATATATATATATATATATATATATATATATATATATATATATATATATATATATATATATGTATATATATGTATATATATGTATATATATGTATATAGACTTATGTATGGTCTTTTATGTGTGTGTGTGCTCGTATAGGTGTTGATTAATAATGTTACTGACTAAAATCACAGTAGTGGTTTTTGTATCGAGAATAACTGATTTATTAGTTTTTTACATTCAAACACAAAAAAAGTTACTGGCAATATCTTTCCAAATATTTACAAATAAGTAACATGGATTAATTTTTTAAAATATATCCGACACATATTTAAGCTCCTAAAGTAAACTTATTCCGGCATTTTTTATTTTTTTTAAATAGTTCATTTGGTGTGTCTGAAAATGCGGTTTCAATTTCATATTTTATACACACAAAAAATAGGTTTTATTTTTAGAAAATAAAATGGTACACATACAATTCTTATACATCGAAATAAAAGAAATTTAAAAATAGATTTATCTTATTTGTTTCTTGTGGTCACGTTCATCATCATCATTCCTTTGTGGCCCCTGGGGAGCAAAGGGCTGCAACCACACATCTCCATCGGAATCGGTTTTGGGCTGCTCCCTTTATCTGTGCCCATGTGAGCCCAGCTGTTTTCGCCTCTTCTTCAACCGTTCTTCTCCATGTCTTCCTTGGGCGGCCCACCATTCTTTTTCCCTGGAGATTCCATTCCAAAGCATGTTTTCCGATGTTTTATTTTTCTTTTCTTAATGTGTGTCCGATCCATCCCCATTTACGGGCCTCGATATCTGTCTCTATTGGCTGTTGCTTTAAAGTTAGCCACAGGTCTTTGTTTGATATTTTGTCTGGCCATCTTATTTTAAGTATATGTCGTAAGCATTTGTCTACGAACGCCTGTAGCGTATCAGTATTTGTCTTCGTTACCCTCCAGGTCTCCGAGCCATAGAGTAGCACTGCCTTGACATTTGTGTTGAAAATCCCAATTTTGCTCCGGAGTGACAGGGCCGTGGACCTCAACATCGGGCGCAGTGAGTTGAAGGCACATCTAGCCTTGTTGATACGACTTTTTATGTTCTCGTCTGCTCCCCCGTCCTTATTGATCACGTTCAATATATTAATTGGTGATCACATGGAATTAGTTGAAACTGTATAATGATGACTAAAAAAACAACATACAAACCATTACATTTTTATAGATATGTAGTAAGTTGTTAGCGCATGTTTAAAATTGTGGTTACATGTTTTATTTTTTTGAGAATTTCCCATCCACCACGGTTTGTGTTGTACTTCTATAAACTAACGATAGTAAAACTACTGAAGCCGGATAACTTTGCGCCATGATCTGCGTGTAACACTTTAAAGTAAAGATCTTGACCTTTCTTCATGTCAACAACCACTGACCCAGCAGTGCTAGTGTTGGCACATTTCACTTCTATAAACTTACACCACACGTCTCCAGCCATCACAGCGACTCTAATCAGTTTACCTTCCCATTCATTTAGAGTTACACAGACAAGATATAAACCATCATGTGGTGATACAAATTTTCCTGTTGTTTGATTAAAATGTTGACCGTTATATTCACGTACTTCACCAAATGTTGAAATGATTGATCCATCACTGACAGATGTGGGACGAACAAGCCTTACATTACAAGCATATCTGTTACATACACGTGACTCTGTTGATTAGAAAACATATGTATGATTTATATGTTTATTTTCACATATGTTTTGACTATTTAATTCATAATATTTGCGACTTGTCATTTCGTTAGTTTGTGTTATTAACTCTAAACATAACATCTTTATATGTGTTTTGTATGCAGTTCAGAATGTAAGTAAAAATGCCAAACACAAATGAAACAATTTAAAAAAATAAATAAATTATGTATAATAATCCATAAAATTAAACATAATTTTGTCTAAGACCACAAATTGAAACACTAGACCACTAGTTTAGTACGGTCCTCAGTTTTAGTGGTGTTAGTTTATCGTGTCCTACGTATTGAAACTACGAGGGTAGTAGGTGAAGTAATACCACACTAAATGTACAACAAATGTTATATTGATCATGTTAGAAGCATTCAGTCCATATATGATCACAATATAGTTTAGGTATATAAGGTTTATCTATCGAAACAAGAATTACTAGAACTAAAGTTATTCTCTTAAAGTTATGAAAATGTAATTTAAAAAAAAACTGATGACAAGATTGGCACAATCAACCTTTTGTGTTGCTCAATTCATGTTACAGTAAAATAATTAGTTATTACGATGCTATTCGATGTAACAATTATTAATGTTTTCTAGTTATTATTTTATATTTAACCCCTGGCTCTCATTAGACTCCGTCTTAATATTAGAAACATAAATGGATGATGTGACGTTAATTGAAATTAATTAATTAGATAATTTTAGACGACAGCTCTGTAAATGTCTTACTTTACTAGGATAGACCGCTGTAGGTCGCCCCCGACATACCAGGTGGTGTAATGTACCAGGTGGTGTAATGTACCAGGTGGTGTAATGTAACAGGTGGTGTAATGTACCAGGTGGTGTAATGTACCAGGTGGTGTAATGTACCAGGTGGTGTAATGTACCAGGTGGTGTAATGTACCAGGTGGTGTAATGTACCAGGTGGTGTAATGTACCAGGTGGTGTGATGTACCAGGTGGTGTAATGTACCAGGTGGTGTAATGTACCAGGTGGTGTAATGTACCAGGTGGTGTAATGTACCAGGTGGTGTAATGTACCATGTGGTGTAATGTACCAGGTGGTGTAATGTACCGGGTGGTGTAATGTACCAGGTGGTGTAATGTACCGGGTGGTGTAATGTACCAGGTGGTGTAATGTATCAGGTGGTGTAATGTACCAGGTGGTGTAATGTACCAGGTGGTGTAATGTACCAGGTGGTGTAATGTACCAGGTGGTGTAATGTACCAGGTGGTGTAATGTACCAGGTGGTGTAATGTACCAGGTGGTCTAATGTACCAGGTGGTGTAATGTACCAGGTGGTGTAATGTACCAGGTGGTGTAATGTACCAGGTGGTGTAATGTACCAGGTGGTGTAATGTACCAGGTGGTGTAATGTACCAGGTGGTGTAATGTACCAGGTGGTGTAATGTACCAGGTGGTGTAATGTACCAGGTGCTGTAATGTACCAGGTGGTGTAATGTACCAGGTGGTGTAATGTACCATGTGGTGTAATGTACCAGGTGGTGTAATGTCCCAGGTGGTGTAATGTACCAGGTGGTGTAATGTACCAGGTGGTGTAATGTACCAGGTGGTGTAATGTACCAGGTGGTGTAATGTACCAGGTGGTGTAATGTACCAGGTGGTGTAATGTACCAGGTGGTGTAATGTACCAGGTGGTGTAATGTACCAGGTGGTGTAATGTACCAGGTGAGGAAACAAACACCTGACGGAAACCCACGGGTCTAGAGACTGGCACTATGTGTGAGTGAAATGTTCATTCTTTATCACGTTATGGTCTGTCTGGCTAACGAACATCACGTTATGGTCTGTCTGGCTAAAGAACATCACGTTATGGTCTGTCTTTCTAACGAACATCACTTTATGGTTTGTATGCTCGTACGTCCGTGTAATAGAAATGCAGAGAGTAAGAGATTTAGAGAGAGCGTATAAAACATTTTACCGATTGGTTATCATTGAGAATTTTTTGATATCTTTTACTATTGTTACATTTAAACGAGAAAATCAATAGATAGAATTTTCATAAAATCACTATTGTTATATAAATAAGTTTTAAAAACTTTTTTACAAAGCAAACTTACCTATGAGATGAAAATCGTTAGACAACTTTGAAATAGTATGTTCAAGTTCACCCAGCTAAATTAAAATAAAGTGTAAAGGAAATAAATGAAACAATCACATATCTACTGACCCACTAGCTTCAATAGATAATGGTTACTTTTAAGAAAAGGAAATGATTTATTGTATATTCTTATTTAATTATCAAAACTATTTTTCAGTGCATTCCCAATAATTGTGTACATTACTGGAATAATTTAGAATTTATCAATGTTGCAAATGATTTTTAAACAGTATTTCAAAAATACCTTATTTAATTTTTCTTCTCTAGTTTCCAAGTTCTGGTTAAAGATTTGAATCAGTTTTTCAATGGGCATCAATCTTTGTTGTAGGAGTTTGTACATCACATTGTTCTAAATGACATACGATCATAATTAAAGATTTCTACAAATAATTATTTTTGTTGCATATTAAAACTAACATACAATTAGCATTTATATAAAAGTTATGATTATAGGTTAAATTAGTCAACTGCCCCTTTTAACAATTTGTAGTAAATTAAATTGCAAGTAATAATAGAACTGTGGACAAAAAGCACAGCAATTTTAAAATATACCTTTGATTGCAGCTTTTCAAATTGGGTTGATGTTTTGACAATGGTTTTTTTATTTTCTTGTTGTAAGGAAACAATCAAATCAGAATGGCTTTTAATTTCTTTTTTCATACTGTCTCTTATATCTTGCATCTCTTTGTTTATTTTGCGCACTTTGTTTTCATATTCTTTCATATCTAGAGTCAGTTTCTCTAGTGTTTGGTTAGACATGGTTTCTTTTTCTTTTAAAATTTCAATTTCTTTGTTCAGCTCCTTTACTTTGTTATCCTGTTCACTCATTTGTTTTCTAAGATTTTTAAAATTCTGCTTTTGTTTTTTAGTCAGTTGTTCAATGTTTACCCACATGTCACTTCGTTCTGAAACAAAGTTGTCTCTCCATTGATTTATTTCTGTTATGTCATCTGTAGACTTGTGTTGTGTGTCCTGTAGTGAAGATAGTGTTGTTTCAATATAGGAGAGTCTACGCTCTAGGTCAGGATGTTCTTTAACTGAAAATAGTCACACATATTCAGTTTATGATTTTAAAGGAATGAAATGTTGGAAATTAGGTTCTTTAAAAAACAATACACAAAATTAAAGTTATTTTCTTTTTTAAAAATTAAACAGTATCAAACCGCACAAGCTTTAACATTGTATACGGCTTACAATCCAGCTACTTAACTAGTTATACCAAACAAAAGTAAGACGTACCCGCTGTATGTTGAACTTGTGTCTTGATTTGTGTTGGTGATTCTACTGTTAGAAATGTTGCTGTTGTCTGTGTGTCAGGCTGTGCTAAAGATGGCGTTGGTTTGTTAACAAACTTGTTGTCTTCATCTGGTGGATGGGGATTTAAATTTTATTTTTTATTGCAGTTGAAGTTAACAATGATTTTGTTGTTGTATACAATATGTTTTACTAGTTAAGCTAGTTAAAACTATAATGTAATCTATTATCTAATGTAATACTCTGATGAAAAAAAAAAGTTGAACATGAGCCAAATGTTTTGAAAAAAAGTCTTTTTAAACGTCTAAGATATATATATATATATATATATATATATATATATATATATATATATATATATATATATATATATATATATATATATATATATATATATATATATATATATATATATATATATATATATATATATTACATATGCTGTTTTTTTACACGGATGTTTAACTAATTTATGAGTAACATGTGTTCAATTATTACTTAATTAACCAAAAGTGTTTTTAAAAACATACAACATTGTATAACGGCTCTTCAGCACGGGCGGAACTACCATGCCGCCAGACCCAGCAATTCGGGGTTGGGGGTCAGTGCGTTTAAGGGACCCTACTCCGACCAAAAAAACAATACATTTTGTTTTCATAAATGTTTTTGTGCACCTTGATGGTGGATTTGTAAAAAAAAATCTAATGTAGCAGTAATTGTTCTACAGTTACCAACACACACTGTTGCGTAGAAAAATATTTTATAATCTTCAAGAGCTGGTTTGAAAGATGGGCAAACGTTCACACCACTTCCATGACATACTGTCCTTCTTTAAAATAGGGGTGCAAACAAAGCTCATTTAAATAGTTCTTTACTATGTAAATTAAAAAGCAATGGATTCTGTTGATTATAATTTAAATAAGACATGCTTAAGAATCGTATATCTATAAAATTGAATGCATTTAAAATTAATAAAATAAATACAAAAAGTTATAAAAATAAACATAAAGCGAGAAACCATTGCACAAATCCATCTTACATGTTTATATACTTTTCACAAGCTATTTTGCCTTTGCTATACTAAAAATGATAAAACATGTTTATTTCATACCCGAAATTAATTTGGGCTTAGGCCTAATTGTGTCTGGTTTGTTGTCTCAGAATGGTTATACATTGCAATGAAATAGATTAAATTACACTGGAAATAGATTACTTCAAATTTAGTGAAGCAGGCTACAAATATTTATAAATAAATAAATAAATATATATATATATATATATATATATATATATAGATATAGATATATATATATAGATATATATATATAATCTTTTTAGCGGCGGAGCCTTTTTTTTTGCCTAGTTCCACCATTACTCTTCACCTTTTCTTAGGATGAATAATGTTACGCGATGTGATAGAATAATTCTTCACTTTTTTAAATGGATTTACAAGATAGAATAGTGGGATATGATTTATACATAAAGCAAAACTTATATGCTTATGAGTGGACAGTGAAATTATATCCTTTTTACATAGTTTTTGCAAGATCTGTAAACTAAACTAAAAATCAATTTTGTCGCATTTATTCAGCTGAAACGTGTGAATACGTAATAAACAGGCTACATGATCATAGACTTTTAACGTTCTATAACATCGTAATGATCTTGAAACTTGTTATATGGCCAATAAGGCTACAAAGTGTTTTTGTTAATTCTTCATTTTTTGTTAAATATAAGGATTTACAAAAATCACTAATGTAATATAGAGTTTATATAAATTAAAAAGCGGAAACTGGTTTTGTAGTTCGTTCACAATAAAGTGCAGTTATATCCCTTTAACACAGTATTCGTAATATCTGTAAACTGTAAAACAATTTCGTTGCATTTTCTAAATAGAAACGAGTCAATACTAAAGACATAGGCGGCTACAAGACCATAGGCTTTGAGATTTGTAATTAGAAATTATAAAAACTATTAGAGTACTGACTTAAAATATGTGACGTCACATCCAACAAGGCCGTGGCTGCTGTGTCCAGTTCTTGTGATAAATCGATGTAGCTGACAGATGATTGGTCAGTTTTTTCTTCTAGCCACGCCTTACTTTTTGTAACAACCTGGTTAAAGCAAACAACAACAATATTTTTAAGTGGCCCCGTGTTGTCGTGCTGTATTTATAAACAGTCTGTCTTGGGTTGTAATTCTTAGCAAATGCACTTTGTAAAACGCTAATCGTCACATGTCTACATTATCCTGTTCAAAATGCATTTACACTTTAAGTGTTACGGTACTTTCTTAGTTGATATAAACTTACATTTTTCATATTTCCTATAACAGGTTCCAGAACTTGTATCTGTTCTTCCAAATATTTCACGTGTTCTGTTACAAGCTTGACCTGAATTCCTGAGGGCATCTACGAAACAAATGTTTAATATTTTAAACATTTTAAACTATGTAACAGTCATAACACTTAAATACTGATTTTTCATTTAAATCCAGCCTAAAAAGTGTTATTAATCAGTTGTTTGTGTCCATAGTATCAATGGGTAAGAATACTAGCATCTGGTTAATTTACTTGAATTCCAGATTATTAGTTGCTAATATATACCAAAAAAAAGGCATCTGTTCAGGGCATATGTTACCGTTGTCAGCAACTATGTCTACGCTCATCAAGTTAAGTATAGAAATACGTAAAATATTTTGTTTCAAATTTGTTTTGTTTGTGAAATTTGCTAATATTAGCTAAAAATACTGATCTATAACAGCGATATATGAACTCTACTACAATATAAATTCCCGTTTCGCTAAAAATATACAGCTTGGTTTTCTCGATCTTCGGTTTCGATTGCTAACCAACAATTTGGTGACAAAATTTAACTGTGAATAGTGTAAATACTATATGGCAAAGTAAGTTTTTACAAAAAAAAACGAATTGCGTATTTGTCAAATAAACGATTATAAAATAGAGGTTAATAAAAAAATATAATTTTTTAAAAATTTACAGCAGGCCTACATTTTACACAATTTGGTTACTATAGGCATACATAAATATTTATAGAATTTGTTATGTTATTTAAATCGTTCTGACTTTATCCTTCCGTTTTAAAACCCAATAGATTTTTACTTTCTCGTATATACGTAGTATAGAGAAAGTATTGTAATCGTGCAAAAAAAAAAAATCGAGATTTTTAAAAAATCTCGACGTTTTACACCTCACTGATACGGAAAAACATAATTTTGCAATCTTGTCCGTATGTCTGTGTGTCTGTGTGTGTGTGTGTGTGTGTGTGTGTGTAAACACGATTACTTGAGTACCGTTACAGCTAGGTTGATGAAATTTCATATATAAGTATTTTATCAAAATCGTAGATCCGTATCAACTTTTGAGCGATTTCCGATAACCGGAAGTGGTACTTTTTCTACTTTGAATTTTTCAAAAGCCTATAACTTGAGTACTATTTCAGATAGATAAATGAAATTTAACATGTAAGTAAAAGATCTAATTCTCTACCTTCTGTTAAATTTTGAGTAATTTCCGTTGACGGGAAGTACTAATTTACGCTATTTACGAATTCTCAAAAACACATCTAAATGTATAAAGTACTAATAATATTGCGCACCATTATGAACATCTTTATTCGGCGTTCGCTTGGTGTGCAACACTTTTTTCTATGGGATTCTATTTTATTTTAAAAAGTTTATGTATTTAAAATGGATTAAAAAAAATTCATAAAAAACGTTTTAATAACAAGCTTTTATGTACTAATGCACTAAAAAGTAGAAAATAAATTATACACTACTATTTAAATTACTAGATCGAAAAGCGTGGGTCACTTTAGTATCTATTGGATACTTTTACTAATGTTAAGGAAGACACCCACGCTTTTCTTTATAGTAATTTAAATAGTAGTGTATAATTTATTTTCTACTTTTTAGTGCATTAGTACATAAAAGCTTGTTATTAAAACGTTTTTTATGAATTTTTTTTCAGTACTTTACATGTTTTATTTACAATAGTGTTACATGACTAAAAACCATTGCACGTCTATTGAACGTGATGGCGCGCCTACTGAAGGTGATGGAGCAGCTATTGAACGTGATGACGCGTGTAGTGTGGTTGGATAGACATGCCTATTGATTCGGTCCAAATTTTAATTAATTCATAAAAAATTAATTAGGCATCCAATTAAGTCACATTTAATTTCAGATTGCATTGTCCTGATGTCTTGACCCACGTGCCAAGTGTGAATCGTATCGGTCAAGTAGAACTGTCCGAATTTTCACTCCTGCATTTCGGTCTAGACTGACGACTGACGACTGGCGACTGACGACTGGCGACTGACGAGGAAGTGAGTTAAATAAAAGCTTGTAAAAATCATAACTATATCCCGAGTTCCCATCCCCTGTTGTTTTATATAAGAATATTCGAGAAAGTTTAGAGGAGATCACTCCCGGTTTATTTAAAATGTACTTCTAATTCCATTTAAAACTATGATGAACATGCAGATTAGCTTTACCTTAAAATGATGTTTTTTGACGAATCGATTTAGGGCTAAGGATCATGAGCAAGAACTCTTCCTGCTTTAAATAATATAGGGTGTTCCCGAAAAGCGTTGTCAGTTTGAGAGTTATCTACCATTTATTAATGAATAAGATTCCTGTAGATCAGGGGTCTCCAAACTTTTCAGACCGAGGGCCACATTAACTATCAAATTTCGGTTTGGGGGCCAGTTTCTTCCAGGCATGTCTTTGATTTCTCTGGGCAAAGTTCCTCAACCATCACCAACAAACGTTTTTCCGTGGACAAAAAGATCTCCGCGGGCCGGATGAGAAGACTTCGCGGGCCGCATCCGGCCCGCGGGCCGTAGTTTGGAGACCCCTGCTGTAGATAAGCCACAACACAACATCTATTTTATTGAAACAATATTATATCGAAAGGTAAGGAAACATTTGTAGATAGATTTCAGATCATTTAATTATTTAAATTTTTAGTCGATGTGACTAACGATGAGGGTAAAATGCGAATACTAACCGCGATATATCGATTCGGTAAAATGCAATATTGAGTTTAAAGTTAAAAACTTCGTTTACGTGACATATTTGTCTCGCAGTTATAATATTTCATTAAGACTATAGCATCTGCAGTCATATGGTGTTAAGTTTCACATGCATTCATAACCACTTTATCTATTACTTACATGCCGATGGCTGAGTACAACCCCACCCATGAATCGTTGAACATTTTGTTGTTACCATTAGAGAAGATGCATGTTCATGTACAAAGTAATTTAAGTCATTTTGTCAATCAGGTTAGTATAATTTACACATTATGATATAAAAAAAAAAGAAAATATACTTACTATATTCTAAATTGAACTCATGTGAATTAGAAATCTGTTCACTCTCTTTTTACCGGGAAAATTATAGTCATCTCAACTATCGAGTTTAAAGTGACCCGAAACTGACCTAGAATGACAGCGGCCTTATATAAACATAACATTTTTTAAAGTGCTTAAATTAGATCGACCACTTACAGATGCGACAAAATATTGGTACTTGTTAAGGAGATAGCTCTTTACCGTAGGCACCTGGAAAAAATTTAAGGGGTTAATAATTAAAAGCTTTTGCTAATTAATTTTAATTGTTAAAGGGACGTAACAGCGTCAGCAATTTGAAATTTAATTTCCCGCTTTCTTTGACAACACGCACAAATTCAATTAAGAGAACATTCGGGTAAAACAAACATGTCTTTAAATTTTTACTAAACGATTTTCAAATACGTCTGACAATTAATAAAAACTATCAAGTTTAACGCGTCAATTAAACCTACATTAAAATATATAACTGAGTCAGGAGTTTCAAGTTTAAATTTTTCGGAGTTCTTTGATTGCTTAAAAAAACAAGAATAATATACATGTAGGCCTAGATTTTAAAAAAATCCTTTAAAATTTATACTACCCAATTTTTAAGTAGGGTGAAAATTAAACCGTCTATAATAACTGATATTTGAATCATACTTTAGACGGCCTTTGATTTCTCCCCAACATATGAAGCGATCATGTATTGTTTTGTAATGGTATGTACTTTATTTGGAATTTAAAAACAAGAGATTATTAAGAATTGAACATTGTTGTGTTTTCTGTATGCAATACTATGTATTTCATGTATTTTAATATAATATGTACACAAACACAGGCGATTCTAAATCTTAAACGTGTACACAAACTACGATTTAGTGACTATATAAAAGTACACAGAACTAACCCACAATAACCCGACTGGACTATCATATGCGGTTTTAGCACCCATTATATACATGTACACAAACATGTACACAAACATGTACACAAACATGTACACAAACATGTACACAAACATGTACACAAACATGTACACAAACATGGACACAAACATGTACACAAACATGTACACAAACATGTACACAAACATGTACACAAACATGTACACAAACATGTACACACACATGTACACAAACATGTACACAAACATGTACACAAACATGTACACAAACATGTACACAAACATGTACACAAACATGTACACAAACATGTACACAAACATGTACACAAACCGGTACACAAATATGTGCACAAACATGGACACAAACATGTACACAAACAGGTACAAAAAGACGTACTCAAACAGGTACAAACTACCTATGATTACACCAGTTACTCAAAGAGACGCTGATGCCATAGTTTTTTATTGGTTACGAAAATAAAAGGCGTTTTACAAACCCTTATAACAAAAATTGTTTTTATATCTCCGTCTAGAATACTACACTTAATCATATCCTTACATAATAACAACATATGTGTGTCACCGCATGAGCGAATACAAGTTTTCATGTGCACATATACACTTAAAATAATCATTAAAGTAAGTGTAATAAAGAATTTCTATTTTATTAGAGAGAAGATACCTGATCCCATCCAGCTCATGTTAGGGAAAGTTCATGCGGCTGGGCAAAGTGCTGACTACACACATCATATATATGTCGCAGTCAAAAACTCTCCTTTATTTACTTTACTTCTTTTCACATATTTAAAACATATTGTGATGGTTTACGAACACATTGGAGAAACTATATGAATTACATAAAGCTAAACGTCCTTTTTACAGACATCTCTTACATAAGATAATATTGCGCTTTCGCTATGATCAGGCATCCATGGCCCACTCCGTCTGAATTAGTGAGATACGTGTCATCTACATTCGTTAATTTATCATTTTCATGCAAATTTTCATCCGGGTAAGGATTTGGAACAAATAAACTGACACTTTTAAAGCTGTTATAGTGTATCATATTATTTTTTCCCACGAATTGTAAGTTGGGTTTTGATCATTCTGTAAATCCATTTTATTCTTGTATAAATCTAGTGTTCTGCCACGACTTTGTACACTCATTACAAGTTATATGCAGATTAAATGTATTGTTGTCATCAGTAGTTTCTCTAGTGTTTCCCCTAGACATCAATTACGAGTCCTAGCGAACTAGTGTGTCAACTTTCTTTTATTTAGGCTTGTCGCCATCTGTGTTTAATCAGTTTAACGAATCCGGGAGTGTTCGCCATCTATCTGGCTGATAGATTGGTGTCCGTTACAGCCTTCTAAATACTACACTTAAACGTATCCTTACATTGGTAAGGTAAAAAAATATAAAAACATGTGTGATGTGTGATCGCATACGTACATAAATGTTTTCGAGTGCATGTATACATGGGTGTACGTATGTGTTGATGTGTGTGTACATTTGTACGTGTGAGAGTAAATAAACATGGCAAGTTGAGCAATTCCACACACATTATGAAAATTTTTGAATTCATGTATTTAAAAATGTGTAAAAAAACATTTTTCCCCTTGGAAACAATTTTGCATGGGGGAAACCACTTTTCATCACTGGTTGAAGAGAAAACCTCATTGTCTTCCTCCTGAATTATACTCTCCTCTGTCATAGGCCGAAGTTATTCGTTTATAATTGCGGACCATTCTAAAATAAGAACAAAATTAATTGTAAGAAAGTCTAATGTGTGGGGATGTTTAGCTCTAAATATTGCATAAATTATAATAAATTATATAGGTACAGTAAAAATAATAATAGATAAAGAAATAAAATAAGTATGTGGCAATTTTACTTAATTTTAATACAATAATCATTTTTAAATAAATAGAACTAGTACATTTAAAGTACTTTTTAAAAATTAAATCTTGAGTTGTGAATTACAGAATTAGCCACAACCAGTATAAATGGTTTAAAATAATAGCTAAACCATCTAAAGAGTATAAAAAGCAACATGGGACATTCCAAACTATAGTGTATGGAATTGCCCCACAACATGTGTGTGGAATTGCCCACACCAACTATTGAAAAAAATATGCTTTCCTGTTCTAAATTAAAGGCTGAATCTAGCATCATTAACTGTTACTATTAACAAAAATGATTAAGCTTTCATAAAATCAATAAATAATTGACAACAATTAAAAATAAAACAAAATAAACCATTTTTATCAAAGTGCATGGGTTGTACTTACGTAAGGATGTTTGAAGATAGTTGCAGATAAAATTAAAATTCTTGCTCTGATTGTACATGAACGCTTCTCGAACAGTATCAGAAAGTACAAGAAATGACCTCTTAGAAACAGGGAATAGTAACTTTTAATTAAACTTTACTCCCTTTTAAAATAGAGAGTAGTCAGTATATAGTGTGTGGAAATTACCCCGTGTGTGGAATTACCCCGGCTTTATGTCTCTGCGTAACTGGGCAGCATGCCAAACATACATAAAATGTGCATACTCATATAAATATAATATAGATATATCTATATACTCATATGATATATATATATATATATATATATATATATATATATATATATATATATATATATATATATATATATATACATATCTCAGTTTCATATTTTTAACAGACTCAAACATATTTTATTTTTATCACATTAAACGTACAGAAATTATATATTACAAATAAAGCTCTGATGCAGAGAAGTAAAATATATGTAAAAATACAGTTATGTTATATGTTTATTTAAGTCAAGTAGAACATTAATTAAGGACAGGCACCACGGATAAAAAATTTTTTTTTACTTAACACATTTCTGGTTGTTTAATAAGTTCATATAATTATAGTTGTTAAACTATAGACAAAAATAATATATAGCCGTCAATAGCAGTACTGGTTGCCATGGAAACCGCGAAAAGGTGTGAAAACTAACACCTTTTCAAATCGCTAAGGCTTTGTTCCCATAAGAGATTTTAAAAAGCAGATGAAAGATTTAGGTTTCTCAAACCAAACTATACATTTCTACGTTTACTCATTGCGATAGCTTGTACTCAATTTTTAATACAAATTTTTACGTAAATGTATGTGCAAAAATTAGGGGGTGGTGTTACATAAATATCAATATTTCCTAAAGTATTGTAGTAAACTTAATGTACAAACGTAGTTTTGTAGATGGTATCATGCTGAATGTACGTGGAATGTTTTATTCTTGTATGACAAAGGGTTCCAAAGCCTTAGCGATTTGAATATTGAATTTTGAGTAAAAATGCAAAGTTGAGAAAACGTGAAAAGAAGAGCGGGAAAAGGCACGGCGCGTTTTCTCTTATAGAAAACAGAAAAAAACGTCTTGTTATATGTGGAAGAACCATTTGTCTAATAAAATACGCTTTGATTTATGTTGTAAGTTTTAGACAGAATTTTTCTATGTAAGCAGAAAATATGTATACAACAGGTAATGAATGTATGACTATTAAGTATTACACATCCTATCAATCGAGCGGTATTCTAAGAACAGCTATTTTCAAACCAGATCAAGTTTTGTTTGTTAGCCGGTCTTCTCACTTCAAAACAATGTCTTTCTCTACTCAAATTGTAGCTTACACAAGTTTATTGCCTTATGATAATAGCCTACAACACAACACTGGGTACAACGCTTGGGGCTAGACACGCCCCCTCCACCCCACCCACCGCTGGATAGTGCGTGAAGAACCGATGAGCCATAGATTACCAATGTTCATTCAACCGCGAATAACACATCTGTGTAGATAGGGTCAAGTACAGGGCCTAAGTGAATGCTTCTCAGCTATCCTATCTAGTATTTACATTCGTTGCTACCACACCCTATACGGAGAGATGAGCATACACATTAACACATGTGTCGTATACAGTCCGGTGTAAAGCCTGATGAACGCGTTCAAGCCTATCACAGCATGCCGTAACTAGATTATAAACCGGCCGTTGGTTGAATGGCGAGAAGAGAATGAAGGGGGTAAAGGGGATGGACAGTACATTCTTCAAACTGATAGTCATGTCCATGACGCATTGTTTCAGCTTAGTATAAAGCGTACGAAACAGTGTTTAATATTGTTCCAGTGATAATCAACAGTGCATTTCTAGGCCACGTTTCAATTACTAAACTTAATGTTGATGTATAACTTTAAAACAACAAATAGAAGAATATACGCAAATGAGGTAAACAAACGAGACAGGCGATTGTTTTGTTTATCTAGAAACAAGATGGCTGCCTAGCACACGTGGTTAGTTGCAGCCTATCGTGAATTATTTTGATTTACTGTACTATAATATGATTGGTCAAGCGTATCAATGAATCTCTTCCCCTTCATAATTTTTACGTGCATGCCCTTATATGGAGTTTGATATAAAATTTTACTTTGTAGAAAACAACTTCTATCTCACTTATTTTTAGAACAAAAGAAAAGGTCACTACACCAGCGGGTACACGAGTGCTTGGCCCTTAGATTGCTGTAAAGTTTATGGTGCCCCGCGGGCCATAAATACATGTAATACCCGCTCGAAGATAGCCGCTGTCCGCGTAGTAGTGTGAAAACTTGTCGGGGGGTACCATGTTTCACATCGCAATAAACGGATAACCGTAAGCTGTAGAAGTCCGAGATGTTCGGGTTAGAGAGATAAAAGGTATTAGTATCGAATTAGGAAATAAAAATTTTGGGGAGCAAAATTACAATTTTATCGAAAACATGGGTATCTTGTTCCCTTAAATTATTCGGAAGTGTAAAATGATAATTAAACAGACAACATTTAAACCATTCAAGTGTTTGTATACATGAAGTCTACACACGAAGTGAGTTGTAAGATTGAGTTTTACTTGGTGGTTACATATTTTATTGTCTTGAGAATTTCCCATCCACCATGTTTTGTGTTGTACTTCTATAAACTAACAATAGTAAAACTACTGTAGCAGGATAACGTTGCGTCTTGATCAGCTTTACATACTCTAAAGTAAAGTTCTTGACCTTTCTTCATGTCAACAACCACTGACCCAGCAGCGCTAGTGTCGGCACATTTCACTTCTATAACCGTACACCACTCTACTCCAGCCATCACACCAACTCTAATCTCTTTATCTTCCCATTCATGTAGAGTTACACAGACAAGATATAAACCATCATGTGGTGATACAAATTTTCCTGTTGTTTGATTAAAATGTTGACCGTTATATTCACGAACTTTACTAAATGTTGAAATAATTGATCCAGCACTGACAGGAGTGAGATCAGCAAGCGCCAGATGACAAGCATATCTGTTACATACACGTGACTCTGTTGATTAGAAAACATATGTATGATTTATATGTTAAATTTCACGAATGGTGTCATCCATTTATGACGTCCACAAAAATTTGGAATTTTAACACAAATGTTTATTGAAGATGCTGTAGACCGAACATTGTAATGTCATTTGTGTCTGTCTAGCTATTAACGAATAAATGGGTGGGGTAAATTCAGCTAATCAACGTGACGTCATTATATTACTCTATCACAATTTAATGCTACATATTATGTTTCCATAACAAACCACCTGCCCCCCTTTAATCGAAGTCCCGCTGACCGTGAGCCCTACACACCTGACCAAGCGAGCATATTATACACATGCTGTTGTTTTAATATCTTACTGTAACGTGACAATTTGTAGTTTTTTTACTTGAAGAAAAAATATCACTAGATCTGCGTCATCTTAGGTTTTGACACAAAGTAATGATGTAGTCCTACAATGATTTAGTCACAGGATCAATCACAGCCTAGATCTGTTTTCAAACGTCAAGCTTAAATTGTTTGAAATGTTTAAAATTAAACTTGAAATACCGTGAAATACTTTAGATAATTGCCGCGGTCACTGCCCCCTCCCCCTACCGATAGTAAAAAAAATATCCGCTTATTTTCCTAGGCTGGCGGTATACATTTGTTGCAGTTTGGCTAGATTTATTCACCCGTTTGCTGGGGATATTCAACACGAGAACTGCCTATTTAATGTAGGTCTATAACCTACATTTTATGTGCATTTTTAAAAAGTATTTTGTTGTTAAATTAAGCTTGTGGACCCGACCCCCCCCCTCTCCATTCCACATGCGTTTACAAAAAGTATATTTTATTCGGTTCACCTCCCCCTCCACACGTGGAAGTCATAAATGGATGATCACGTTGCTCTGACTATTTGATCCATCATATGTGCATTGTCGTATTATTAGTTTATGTTACTAACACTAAATATAAACTAAGTATATGTGTTTTGAATGTTGTTCAAACATCTTTAACACAAAATAAATTGTGTATTTGCCTACTAATCCATAATGTTGACATAATTTTGTCTAAGACCACAAATTAAACACTAGACCAATAGTTTAGCACGGTCCTCAGTTTTAGTGGTGTTAGTTTATCGTGTCCTACGTATTGAAACTACGAGTGTAATAGGTGACGTAAAAGGTCAGAAAAAGTAGAACAAATGTTTATTGCGTTATGTTATAATCGGTCTAAGACAAATTCCAGAAAGATACTTTCCCGAATGCCCGAAGGCCGATTTCCCGAATAGACACTTGCACGAATGCAAGTGTCCATTCGGTCATTTATCTTTCGAGAAATCGTCCTGCCCCCGTTATAATCCGTGTGTGTTCACATTATACTTTAATTATATAAGGTTTATCTATCGACACCAAATTTACTAGAACAAAAGTTATTATGTTGCACATATTATTCAACGTTTTGTATTGTTCATTTCAGTTTACAGTAAATTATTAGATATTAGATGTTAAAAAATGTAAGTTACTATATTATTTTATAATTCAGCTCTTGCTCGTTTGGGACTCCGTCTTAATATTGGAAACATATCGGGATGAAGTTAAGTCAGTTGAAATTAGTTCATTTGAAATTGTCGTAAATCGCTTACTGTACTAGGGTAGACCGATGTATGTCGACCCCCGACATACCAGGTGGTGTAATGTACCAGGTGAGGAAACAAACACCTGACGGAAACCCACGGGTCTAGAGACTGGCACTATGGGTGAGTGAAATGTTCCATTCTTTATCACGTTATGCTCTGTCTGGCTAACGATCATCACGTTATGGTGTGTCTGGCTAACAAACATCATGTTATGGTCTGTCTATCTAACGAACATCACGTTATGGTCTGTCTGGCTAACGAACATCACGTTATGGTCTGTCTGGCTAACGAACATCACGTTATGGTCTGTCTGGCTAACGAACATCACGTTATGGTCTGTCTGGCTAACGAACATCAAGTTATGGTCTGTCTGGCTAACGAACATCACGTTATGGTCTGTCTGGCTAACGAACAACACGTTATGGTCTGTCTGGCTAACGAACATCAAGTTATGGTCTGTCTGGCTAACGAATTATAGTCTTTCTGGCTAAGAAACATCACGTTATGGTCTGTCTGACTATCGAACATCACGTTATGGTCTGTCTGGCTAACGAACATCACGTTATGGTCTGTCTGGCTAACGAACATCACGTTATGGTCTGTCTGGCTAACGAACATCACGTTATGGTCTGTCTGGCTAACGAACATCACGTTATGGTCTTTCTGGCTAACGAACAACACGTTATGGTCTGTCTGGCTAACGAACATCAAGTTATGGTCTGTCTGGCTAACGAATTATAGTCTTTCTGGCTAACAAACATCACGTTATGGTCTGTCTGGCTATCGAACATCACGTTATGGTCTGTCTGGCTAACGAACATCACGTTATGGTTTGTCTGGCTAACGAAAAACACGTTATGGTCTGTCTGGCTAACGAACATGACATTATGGTCTGTCTGGCTAACGAACATCACGTTATGGTCTGTCTGGCTAACGAACAACACGTTATGGTCTGTCTGGCTAACGAACATCAAGTTATGGTCTGTCTGGCTAACGAATTATAGTCTTTCTGGCTAACAAACATCACGTTATGGTCTGTCTGGCTATCGAACATCACGTTATGGTCTGTCTGGCTAACGAACATCACGTTATGGTTTGTCTGGCTAACGAAAAACACGTTATGGTCTGTCTGGCTAACGAACATGACATTATGGTCTGTCTGGCTAACGAACATCACGTTATGGTCTGTCTGGCTAACGAACATACGTTATGGTCTGTCTGGCTAACGAACATCACGTCATGGTCTGTCTGGCTAAAATTAATTTTTTAAGGCAAACTTACCTATTAGATTCAAATCTTTGGACAATTTTGAAATGGTATCTTCAATATTTTCCACCTAAAATAGATATTTTATAAAATGAATTAAAAAGTCACATGGTTACGTAAAACATACAATTGCTACAATGACATTAACTTTGGTAGGGCAAATTGTAAGTCTTGTTGTTTTTTTAAATTATAAATGTATCGCTTAATTTAAGAAAAGATTTGTTAGTAACTGGTTTATTAACAGAGTGTTAATATTTAATACCGGATTTATCAACGTCGCAATTTAATTTTTAATAAAATCACTATACATATACCCTCGTTTTTCTTTCTTCCCGAGTTTTTAAGTTCTGGTTAAAGATTTGAATCAGTTTGGGCATCAATCTCTGTTGAAGTAGTGTGTACATCACACTGTGCTAAAGAGAAGAAGATTCAATTAATGCATTAAAATTTTGAATACTTTTACTGGACATAAAAACTAACATAAACATGTGTTTTAAATCTAGTAATAATATTAAAGTATAACTGGCGATTAAGCTACTATGTTGAGTTTTGATTTAACCAGGTTATTAAATGTGAAAAAGTTATCTGGCCAGCATGTGTAAAATTGTGTACACAGATAATTAGCAATTTTACCTTTTCTAATTGAGTTGATGTATTCCGCAAGTTTTTAGAAATCTCTTCTTGTAGCGTAGACATCTTAACAGAATGTCTTTTCATTTCTTGAGTTATAATATCTGTTTTGTCTGCGTGATCTTGCACATCTTTATTTATTTTAAGTAAGTTGTTTTCATATTCTTTCATATCCAGAGACAGTTTCTCTAGTGTTTTGTTTGACATGGATTCTTTTTCTTTTAAACTTTCAATTTCTTTGTTCAGCTCCTTTACTTTGTTATTTTGTTCACTCATTTGTTTTCTAAGATTTTTAAAATTCTGCTTTTGTTTTTTAGTCAGTTGTTCAATGTTTACCCCCATGTCACTCTGTTCTGTTACAAAGTTGTCTCTCCATTGTTTTATTTCTGATATGTCATCTGTAAACTTGTGATTGGCGTCTTGTAGAGAAGATATGGCTGTCTCTATCTGCTCAAGTCGACTGACGTCTTGTAGAGAAGATATGGCTGTCTCTATCTGCTCAAGTCGACTGACGTCTTGTAGAGAAGATATGGCTGTCTCTATCTGCTCAAGTCGACTGACGTCTTGTAGAGAAGATATGGCTGTCTCTATCTGCTCAAGTCGACTGACGTCTTGTAGAGAAGATATGGCTGTCTCTATCTGCTCAAGTCGACTGACGTCTTGTAGAGAAGATATGGCTGTCTCTATCTGCTCAAGTCGACTGACGTCTTGTAGAGAAGATATGGCTGTCTCTATCTGCTCAAGTCGACTGACGTCTTGTAGAGAAGATATGGCTGTCTCTATCTGCTCAAGTCGACTGACGTCTTGTAGAGAAGATATGGATGTCTCTATCTGCTCAAGTCGACTGACGTCTTGTAGAGATGATATGGCTGTCTCTATCTGCTCAAGTCGACTCACTATTTCTAATGCAATAAAAATACCAAAAACAATTATTGGAAGTAGTAATTACATCTAGGAGAAGAAAATAAGGAATACACTTCTACATGTAAAGTTTTACAAAAATGTTTTAATTTGAAAATAGTTTATACCCGCTGTTGATTGAACTTGTATAGTAACTTGATCTTTTGATTCACTAGGGTCACGTTTATCTGCTGCTGTAGTCTGTGGTGTTGACTGGGGTAATGATGGCGTATATTCCTCCACGTCTATGTAGTCTTTATTTTCATCTAGGTAATGTAAATGAATAAAAATAATGTGTCATTACATAACTTGATAATTGGATATGTGTTGTTAAATATTTGTATCAATTTCTTTCATGTTTCAAATCTTAATTTTGTTTGATGTACGGTATATTTTTTTACGTTCGTTGTTTGCTTTCATTAGGCTAGTAGAGATTTACAAATCTTTCATTTATTATAATTATAGAAGCACTTACTTATAATTGATGATGCCGCATTCAACAAACACAAAGTAGCTGAGTCTAGCTCTTGATGTATTTCTATGTAGGTGAAGGAGGGATTTTCATTTTTATCCTCTTCTATCCAAGTCTTACTTTTTTGTACAGCCTTGTAAAAAATTGTATGATTTTTTTAATGAAACGTGTTAAGCGTTTAATATTCTTCTATGTATTATTTAATCAATAACAACATTAATGATCAACTACTTGTTTCATAACATCCAACACAGGTTCCAGAACTTGTATCTGTTCTTCCAAATATTTTTTGTGCCGTGCAACAAGTTCAACTTGAATCCTGGGTCGCATCTAAGAAAAAAATTAAAAGATTTGGTCGCGGTATTGACTAATTAACTTGATTAACCAGAAAAATTGAAAGACAATTTTAAAAATAACGTTAAGAAAACTTTTATAGTTTAAGTCTCAGTAGATTAAATTTGATAGCAGTATTATTCAGAAAACAGCTTTATTTTGTCATAGGCTTTCTCACTGATTAAATATCTGTCAAGATGTTTAAACGTCTTATTTCTTTGATAATCATTTTTAACTTACTACATGAAATTTTACTCTTTACTAAATAAATGTAGGCAAGTAGGCCTATTTAGTAAAATTATAAATGTAGGCAAGTAGGCCTATTTAGTAAAATTATAAAGGATCTAACGGGAAAACCCGATGTTATAAAAAAATGTGTTAAAGTGATAAAGATGGCGACAAGAGACGACACGTACTAGAGATAGTCGATTGCCTCCAACTTTAACAAATTTAAATGATTAAAAAATCATATTTATGTCATATTTATGTCTATCTCAAACTAAGTAAAATTTAATGTATATTCGAAATTAACTTAGACAAATATTAGTTTTATATTTAATAAAAGACAAATATCAAATAGTTTAAATAAAATGTGCAGCTTATTCAGCATACGTTTCATGTTTATTGTTGTCGTTACTGTGTAAAGATGAATTTAATTGTATGTAAATGGGATGTTTACACTTACTTTATAACTTTTGGAATATGTTTAGCTTACAGTAGAACCGGTCTTGTCTTTAGAGTGCTGAAGGCCTTCCACATCTGCCAAGTTCATCCGTTAAAGTGAAACTTCAAAAAGGAAAATCCCGATATTACCTAATGCATGACGTCAACTTACAAGGGACAAAACTGTTGTTTTTCTAGTTTCTTAACACATGAATTTAGGTAACTTAACATTTTTTTCTTTGTGGTGCACAGAACATCTCCTGTTATATAGATCTACAGTCGTCAAAAGGTTATTAAACTTTTTCGGATTGGGATTTGTGTTGGGTACAAAATAAAGTCCAGAAAAATGTCAAACTTAAAATCTATTGTTAGGCTGTTGTTTTATGGTAGTGCTGTCTTAAATAATATTATTTTTCCATGAATGGTTGAGACATGTGTTAAAGTATCCTATAAATAATCAAGATTCTTGTATATCAAGGCTTGCATTGAAATATACTTTGACCATAGAAAATAGTTAACCTGTAAACGGACAGTAGGGACGATAGGTGTCATTTAGATCTTAGTAATAGATGTATGTTGTACTCTGCATTGCTTATATCTATTTGCTAGTCAAATGATATACAATTATAATTACGACAATTAGGGGTTGAGTTCTATAGGTATAACCTATTAGAAGATGTTGATGGTGGTGTCAAGAAATGGCTGTTAAGTTCCAAAATACACTTACCACAGATATAGCTAATTTATTGGGACAATCCATAACTAAACCATTTAAAAATTGTTAATTTTAATCTTCTATGCGTGAGATGTTTTTAAACTTGAACAGCAGTTGTTTCATTTAAGAATTTTCTTTTCTAGATGGGTTGCTGTCTCTGGTTATCGGGCCTCATCTCGTAGAGTGATTAAACTCAGGACTGTAGTGTGAGCAATAATGAGCTCTCTTAACTGAACATGGGGATAATGACGTCAAAGTGTGACGTCATAAACCAGACAGATTTATATTTGCAGCAAAGCTTAACTAGACCCATGTGTAGAGTAAACTCAAGAGGGAAGGTCAGAGCTATTTCAAGGATTGTACACATTTGGCTGAACAATTTATTTTCAATTTAAGCTGGGGTATTTGTTTTTATTGTTTTTATTGAGATCTGTATCGAATAGAAGTAAAGGTTAACGTTAAAGATCTACGTAACCGTCATGAGAGATATTTGATAAGTAAAATGTCAGCGTTCGTGGTTTAGTTTTCGTATAGAAAATGTCTTGAAAAAAAAGATGAACTGTGTGTATGTGTGTGTGTGTGTAAGTGAGTGTGGCGAAAGTCGGGTTGGGAAAATCACGTAGGCTTCAGTGGGCCGGAAGTTTTGTTTTAGTGAAGCCACAGACCAGAAAATTGCATTGAACACTAAAGGGAAATAAAAATTTTCATAAATATAGCTTGGTACACCTTTATTAGAAGCCCGGGAAGATCATGATACTGAAAAAAGGAGCAGACAATGTTTGACTGTTTGGTCAACTAACTGCTCTAATTGTAAAGCTGTGTAGAATTCACTCACAGACAGTAACATGGGAAATTAATATACTTACACACGCGGGATATAATAGATCTTTTACCGTCAAACACAATGAAATAAACGAAAAACCAACGCCCGCGATCAAATGTGTTATACGTAAAGGATCCCTTACATATGGATGTACTCTATCTAAAAATCACCATTTGCGGCTAAATTTAAGTAATTCTGTTTGATTTATTTTTTTAAATAATGATTTTGCAATAATTCAGTATGTTAAAAATTCATGGACAATTTATATAGTTTAGTCATACATGTTATACAGTTTTAAACAGAATAATACAAAATAGTGTTTGATAATTTGCCGAAGAAATTATTTACCAAGAAAATGTAGCATATTGCATTTAATAAAATATCTTTAATTGAACTGCACCTTAGTGTGTTGTTGCTTGTAGACTGCTTGATTAGTGCAGAACATCAAAACACAATTAGACGAAATATTGAAAGTGTAAGGCGCTATAAATCATAATTGACACGAATCCAAACTAGCTGGTCTATGTTCGACTTATTCTATTTTATTGATTTGTAAAAAAAAAAATTGAAATACACCGACAGTGAAAACAGCCCTTCGTAACGTATGCTACACTCGCTGCCCAAATTAGACTATGCAGTTTACATTGTACAGATAACGTTTGTATGCGTGCATGTGTCAATATGTCACCCTATGGTCAAACCCCCTATTGTCAAAGCCCTGCTGTGATCAAAACCCCTATGGTCAAACCCCCTATGGTCAAACCCCCTATGGTCAAAGCACCTGTGGTCAAAGCACCTGTGGTCAAAGCACCTAGGACCGGTAATATACACAGATTTTAGGTTTCAATGAGTTGAATAATCTTTTAAACGTAGGCTGTTTCTTGCTTAACCCGTATTTTTAGTGATACTTAGAATTTAAAACTTATAAAAAAACACATTTGTGAGCGGTGGTTGTTAGACATTTAAAACCAGATTAACATTAGTTTTTCGATCAGACAAATACTATTTAAATCAACAACACTAAGAACTTACATCCGCTATACTGAAATAACGTAATAGTAAGTGGATACTAAAATGTAATACACCTATAAATTCAATCGAAAAAAAGCAACGTTTTCGTAGTAAATTATTAGATATGGTATCACTCCCCACCTCGGTCGTTGATTGACGTATCAGAAAAAATTCAAACGTAACTTTTTCTCTGTGTAAATTTTGCTGTTGGTGTCACCACCACCCATGAGTGATAGCTTTAAAGCCATCTCATTTAATAATAACGATGCTAATCTATAATCGGTTATGAATACAGCCAAATTTAACCTTGTTTTGGCTATAGTTAGCATGTGATGTCAAAGTGTCACCCTCCACCCCATTGTCAGGATCGTCAATTTGTACTTAAAAGAGTTTTTAAAGTTCAATTCAACATTAATTGTACGGACGAAAAGTTTTTTCCCCTATATATGTTGCTATTTTTGTCTTTTGGGGTCACCCCTTCCTAAATGGTCTCATCTGTTGCGGTCTGCAACCACGACCCCGACCCCATCTCGCGATTCCAACAAATTATGTCAAGTATTATATTATTTGATGGCGAAAATTTAGTTATGTGTATATCTGGATACTAAACATCATTTATCCTATCTAGCCTTATGATTTGACTCTTTTTTTCAAAATTATCAAATAATTTGTTTTTCTCTTTTTGATATATAGTCTATATATTTATAATTGTAATCAAAACCAACAGCCATACCACACCATACAGTTACAAGTAAAACAGTTGGTCTATTGACAGCAACATGATATTCTATCGCTAACAGATACGTCATGAAAAGTCCCAAGCGCCGAACGAGTCCAAAAGTCTACCCGTATGAAGTCTCGGCAAGCCGTGTCCATCTGGAGACCTTGTCCCCCCCCCCCCCCCTGACTATAACTCTCTGATGGCTCAGGACAGAAAACATTTCTAAATCATCAAACTAACATATTCATTGTACCACTATGATTTGTTTCTTATGTATATTTTAAACGCCTAACATTCAAGTGACTTGAATTAATATTAAAACAAGTGTTTTTTTTTTCTTGCAATGAACAACTTTAAATTATCGGAACTTTAATTTTTTATAATAATAATATTATATGTATTAGGTTTTATACTAATTTGTAAAATTAAACTTTATGTATTTGCATTGTTTTACAAGAAAATAAACACAGACATTTACACAATAACAAACGTATTATATTCTCTTAACTATGTAACATAAAAAACTACAATTTTTATACGAAAAACACACATTTGTGTTATAATTTTGTTATAATAAACTGTATGTTGCTTTGTTTTTTGAATCATATGACGAACTATCTTTTTTTTTGGACTACTTATCCCAAACAAAAAGCAGTTAGAATAAATAGCATACAAGAATTAATATTGATTACCAATTACAAGTATATTCTATTTATAACATGTTATAGCAATTTAAAATATTTCCTATTATCTTCTAATTGAAAACCAATATCTCCAGCCCGAGGCGTATAGAGGTTTTCATGTTAGGGGTGGCTAGTCCAGAAAAAGGAGCAATATATATATAGGTATATATATATATATATATATATATATATATATATATATATATATATATATATATAACACTTCAAAAACTATACCTATACGTAATCGATTCCAAAGCTGCTTTTCTGCTACCCCCCCCCCACTTGGATCTCCGTTTAAAATTGACGGGTGAAAGGGGGAGGTGAGTAATTGATTAGGGGGTGATGTCCTACTGAACGGTTTGGGCGGGGATGTGTACATAGGGGGGGGGGGTAATCGACTTGCGAATTAATAAATGGGGGTAGGGAGCAGGGCCATTTCACTGTCTTGGTAGGGCCAGGCGTTTTTGGCATTCGTAAGCCCAACATTCAACAGCGGCTGTGACACCTACACGAGATTGTGTAATGTTTATATAGCAATAAAATGGTGATGGTTGCATTAATTTAAGAGTTTAAAAATTTCAACAGCAGTAGTATATTAGGTCACTTTTGATTATTATTTTTGGCGGAGGAGTCATGGTGGAGGAACAATGACATATAGTAAAATACTCCCACCACCCGGATGTGGTGGTGGTGGTGGTGGAGGTACAATGAGATATAGTAAAATACTCCCAGTCTGGCGCAGCGGGATGTGGAGGAGCGGTGGTGATGGTGGTGGTGGAGGTACAATGAGATATAGTAAAATACTACGCCAACTGCCGGAGGAGTGTACGCCAACTGCCGGAGGAGCGGATGCGGAAGGGACAATGAGATATAGTAAAATACTACGCCAACTGGTGTTGGCGGAGAAGCGGAGGGTGACGTAATTAGTAACCTTGTGACGTAATCAGTGACATTATGACGTAATCAGTGACCTAGTAACGTAATTTGAATGCGTTTTTTAATTAGTTTGAATTTAATTTTTAAAATTTTAATTAATTTTTATTGACTAGTTATGTAATTTGATTATTTGTTTACTTTTTTTAATTGTTTAATTTGTTTGTTTACTTGTTGTTTAATTTAATTACTTTGTTTATATTGTGTAATTTTTATTAACGAGTTACGTAATTTGATTTTAA